TCGAATTGCAAACCGATCTGATGAGTTCTGAGAGTCAAACGCTTGGTGTTTTCCATAACCTTAAAAGAAGATAAGTACTTGCGTAGAGAGAAGGAGTCTTACTTGTTCGTGAATGCTGACGGCTTTCACTCCCATTACTACTTGTCCTAATTTACTGTCTATTTTAGCTCCTTCGATTCGATAGTTACGGATCAAATCAACAATCCACCTCTCAGCTTCAGCCTAAGAGCATGTTCGTGATGATAGATGAACATTCAGAGAGCTTTACCTGCGTCATGTTTAGTCTTCGGGCAAGCATTTCAATGCTGATGCATTGATGGATTCTACAGAACATCTCGAAAATGAGAAGTCTGGCTGACTCACGGAAATCAGGAAGACAGGCAGTCAAAAAGAAGTCATTCGATAAAACCTGGAACAATAGAATATAAAATACTGAACTAACGGAAGTAAAAGTACTTCTTCGCATTCTCTGAGCTTCTCCTGAGCTTGATCGAAGTCATACTTAATGTAAAGGCAAGTGAGGAAATCGGTTACGGGATCCTGGTAGTTGTGTCTCTCCTAAAAACAGAGCATTGAAGAGGACTTATGATGTTCACTTACAATATCGATGACTTTAATGAGATCTTTCAAACTGTTTTTCTGCTTGTTCTTGCTTGTAACAACAGCCACAGCAAGATAACGGAGAAGATGGGGGCTTACAGCCTAAACCGAATGCATTAGCAGAGGAAAGAGACTCGACTCAAACCTGGATAGTGTTCAAATAAGTTTGTTGGTTCAAGAACATTTCAATAATTTCATCACGTCCTTTGGGGTAATTGAAATAAACGAAAAGAGCCCAGTGCATCAACCAGCCTCTCTGCTGAACAAGTTCCCATTCGGTATCGAAAGGATTGGAGTCAATGTAAGCTCTCAGCTTGACCAAATCGTCACGAGCATGGTCCCATTCCTGAGATAATGATAAACAATTAGGAGAAAAAGAGAAAGACAAACCTGCAAGAGAATTTCACTAGCAAGCTTTCCATAAAGAGCATTCAGATAGTTGTTGTCGGTGTGAGGAATGAGGTTTCTGTAGTAATACAGGCAAACCTTGAAAAAAATATTCAGAATGATACTATTACGGAGGAACATACCGAAGCAGCTGTGTAGTTACCGCATTCGTACATGAACTTGGCGTATTTGAAGAGAGTGTCAACCATATCTACGGTGAACTGAGAAAAGTGAGAATTATAAATGGATAGAGGTTGATATACTCACTTCATGGTTTTGTTGAAGGAAATCCAAGATTTTGCTATTTCCATCTCTCTCACGTGTGTTCTCCATGAGCTCTTTAACATCCTCACGCTCGAGAATTTCAACAATTGGATCGACCTGTTTGAAAATCATAAGTCATGCTCTAACATGTAGCGGTTACCTTAGCCTTGAACGCATCTCGTTCTTTGAGGATCTCAGCCTTTCTTTCGATAAGGTCTTCTGGGATTTGTCCCTCAGGATAAGTTTCAATCAGACTGTCGATCATGTTGGTTTTGCGCAAAACTCTTCTATGAACATCGATGAAAGATTCTTCATCGTAAATCTGAAATCAACACAAAACATTGAAGAAACGAACTATGGTCACTAACTCTTCTTGGCTCAACGAACTCCAACAAGGGGATGACCAAGTGGAGGTCGAAGAAGGGAACCATCTTTTGCGTTAAATCAAATTCGGCCATGGCTTAAAAATATTTTCTATTTCAAGTGAAGATGGAGAAAGTAAGAATTCGTGTGAATGAGAGGGATCATTGATGCAATCGTAGAAAACTATTTTATTGATAAATATATTAGGAAAAGGTGAAGATCTCATTGCAGATAGATAACAGCGAGAACACTGACAGTAAATTCAATAGAATAATAATAAAATAAAAATAATTTTATAACTCAAAAATAAAACTTGAAAGCTTCCAATTTAATAAAAACTCAATTCTTTCCTGCGAAAGTTCAATATGCACGCTTGTAAACAGCGTGCAGATGTAATGAAAGATGTAAAGATCGTTGGAGTGAATTTATCTTCATGCTTCAATTGTAAGCTCTCAAATGGTTGTATTTCTTTAATAAATTTCTTTGTCTTTGGATCACGATAGTACCAATCATGACAACTATCAAGAAGATTGTTGAAACAGCTGCAATGATCACGGATGTCAGTAATTTTGAGACGCAGAAGTTTCTTTCCAGCATCAAAGGCAATTTTGGCTGTGAAGAGTCTTCTGAAAGTCAGGACATCTTTGTGCTACTACTTCATTCGAACCTTTCTTATCTTCGACCTCTGGTGGTAGAACTAGCATTTCTACAGTTACATCAGCTTCCATGTTCTTCAAGTGTCTCCGTTGCTTAGGTGGAGCAGTATTGCTCGTCTAAAAATAAGACTATGGTAACCAAATGTGAAAGAATGGTTACCTTTGATACTTTGCTAACATTTTTTGAGAGAATAACAGGTTTTGAGTGCAACTCTTCTGATACTGTGAATATTGGCTTGAAAGAGTTTATTTTAAAAACCGATACCTGACGCATTGTCATAAATTCCTTCTTCGATCTCTGTGTCATTCAATGGACTATCCTTATACGGTAGTCTGTAATCAAATCATTAACCTGTTCTTAAATACGTTTTGTACTCATGCATTTCTGGTCCACGATTGCCTTGGTGTTGCTCTGGATGATTAGGTGGGCTGTGCTGATGTTGACGATCCTGGATATTCTTGAAGAATTGCATGGAATTTTCAGCTGAAAGCCCTGTTTAAGATTTAACTCTTCCTGCTTACAACCTTTCTGTTGTATATCTTTCGGCAAGCTTCCAATGAAGTGCCGAGACATCTCATTGGGTCCAGGAAGAATCACAGGTTCTGACTTCATTACACCTTCTGGATGTGGTGTTTCAGCTAAAGTTTCAAGCATCATTCAGATAGAAAAGAGAGACTCACGTTGGTTTGGCTGCGAGCGAGGTGAAGAATGCTGCCTTTCTTGCTCGGGCATCTCTGAATGAACTGTTTTCATAGGAGTATTCGTTTCGGGGTGCAAGATAGGTCCAGCTGGATTACGATGGGAACAAGCTGGTGGCTGGAAATAAGTAAGAGTACGTGAAGAAGTTTGAAGATAGGAATAACCGTGACTCCTTCACAACCTCCATCGTGTTTGTAACACAACTGGACTGTACATGTGAAGTATAATTGGACCTGAAATTAAAAACTAAGATCATAAGATGAGATTTTCTCCACTTTGTCAGCATATTTAAAAACGTTAGCGTGAGTAACTGCAGTAATGGAATCTGACTCATATTCGATTTGTGGCAAGAGCATAGGATCAGTTGTACATCTGTAAGCTTCGCAGTTCTGATCATTCTGTCTGGAAAAACGAACCCATTGTCATCCACTAACTGGAACTTGTTTCCTCTGCCATCGTCAGCAAAACAACTGTGAATTAAAATTCCGTACACATGGCTAACTTCTGAGAATTGTTGAAACTTAGTTGTAGCGCTGCTGCAAGCTCACCTTCATCACAGTGCCATACATGGGTGACTTTTTGACCGACCTGAGCAAAATTGATCTTTTCACCGTTGATCCCGCCTCGTAGTTGGTATGTGCACATTGGCAGAGGGACGTCTTGCTCAACGACTTCGGTTGTTAGTATTCTGTAGATTATTTAATAAAACCCAGATAACGGAAGAGAACTTCATTACCCCACTTCGAGCCCTGTGTTCAGACTCTTCACAGATTCTAAGAAGAAACATCGAATGTTAAATGCTTTGTCTTGACCCGTCACAAAGAACTTAAGAAGAATTCCTATGGAGGTATGAAATATAAATGACTCACGGGGTGGAAGGATATCACCAATGTGAACGAGAATGCGATTCCCCGAGGATGCAACTGGAGAACGAAATCGAAAGTTCAAAAAAAGAAGATTAATGAACATACTGTTCTTTGACGACGCATATTACATTCTCCGATAGATATGTCGAATTTCAAATTTTTCGAACCCCCTTCAGTTCGTCGAACACAGTTATCTTTTTCAGACTCTCCGTCTACGTATAAGCGACCTAGAACAGTATGTAGAGAATAAGATTGTGTAGATAATGCAAACCTGTGAAAGGATGTAAAGTGCTCATCGAAACTATTATGTTGTCGACTCCACACTGCACTTCTGGCTTTGATACGAGGTCATTTGAAAATGCAGAAACTACTATCTGAAGAAGCAAATCAGCTTATCATTAGAATAGAATTGAGTTCCGCATGGAAGTCAGCTACTCACAACACTCAAAAGCAATAGCGTGAGCTGTAGAAAAGCCATGTCCTCCTGTTTCTGCAACTGCTGGTAGAAGCTGAGAAGATGTTTTCTGCCTCTGTGTTCATTTCATCGGCCATTTTATATGCTAACGGCAACTCATAGTAGGTCAATGGCTTCATGACTAGTTTGAAACAACTAATACGAAGCTTTTGCTGCCTCAATATCATTATCTGTATCGTTTGATGTGGAAAACAAGTACATGAGGTGGTCCAATAACTGTTTTTCTGTCGAAATCATACAGTCGTTGAAGAAAATTTTTTATTTACAGAAACTATTTCTTTGAAAAAAAGCACGCTTAATAGCACAAAAAGTGAGCAACAGAGCACTCGAAAAACAAAAACATCACCCGTTCAAATGCAATTGAAAACAAAGAAGAAGAACTATGGGAAATCTGAGTTAAGCTACCAGTAAGTTGGTGAGTTAATGATGATTATGCTTACAAACGAACTATCATAAATATGTGATAACTTCTCTATATTCCTATATGGTAATATCAAATAACTTATAGCAGGTGGTAGCTGTCGATCGCGAAAGACACCGGACAACTCTGAGGTGCGAAAACCGGTAAGGAAAAAACAAACAAAAAATTGTTAAAATGCGGGAAGTAAAGATGTCAGTTGAAAAAACTAAAGCTCTGGCTAAATGGCTTCTCTCAATGTTAAATTGAGATGCAAACTGAATTTCTTTGGCTATTCATGACGCAAATGAACCGTAGCTGCATCACGCATTGTTGAGTTCGCCAAAGGAGCTCCAGGAATTGTTGTCACATGAGCATTGTGCGTGAATGTCTGGTTTGAACTGGAAAATAATCATTATGAGTGTGATGCTTCTGGAAATTAATCACTTACGAAACTTTCGATTGACGCTGCTTCTTGAGGTAAATGACAAAGAAGCCGAGAACAATGATGGTCAATGTTCCGACCAGACCCAAAGCGATCGCTGTGTATGTTCTGAAACAAATACACTACTAATCCGTTCTCTTCACCATTCTCTTACCTGATCTTAGCTGCCTTAAGGGCCTCCTCTTCTTCATGAATCATTTCACTCGAAATTTGGTTGATGTCATAAGGAGAGAATGTAGCAAGTACTGGCTTTTCAAATTTAGGAAGCTTAGACAGAATTTCATCAATGGAAGCATTAGCAACAGTAGCCTTGCTGAACAGAACCGCCATCTTATCAGTATTTGTTTTGAAGTGGTTCAACAGATCCTGGGGCAACTTAGTGAGGTCAGGGACCTCTCCACGACTAATCGAGTGAATGATTTCAGCAGGGATTTTGGAAATGTTGTATCCGGGTGGTAACATCTTGAGCATCTCCAACGATTCTGGTGTAAGAGGAAGACTTCCCACTCTTCCGGAATTATTAGATCCTTCAACAGCAATTGACTTCGTATAATATTCCTAAACAGATTCCAATCAATGAGAGAATTACAAAGTAGAACGTACCGAAATAGTTTTCGTTTGCTCATGGTTCAGACCAGGCAGAGGTTCACCTTCCATAACACTAGTTACGAGTTCTTTTGGAAGAGTGTTGACAGGAGGTAAGAACTGAAAGACGTATTTGTTCTCCTTCACAACCAAACTCGATACCTTAGATTGACTGTCTCTTAATTTTCCAGCATTAGCGGCAGAAGCAGCTTCATGCATCTTGAGCATGTATTGTTGAATGATACCATCGAGGGTTTCTTTAGGAATTCCGGGAATTTGTCCTCCGCGTAACACGTGAGCCACTAGGTTGGGGTCAAGCTAAATGTTTTAAATTAAGGTCATACAGGAGAAAGTTTGTATGTACCTGTCTGATATCGACATCTCCTAGACCAGGAACATTTACAACGAAATTAGGAATAGATTGAATCAACTGCTCAATGTCACTAGCAACAGGTTGTCCTCCAGTAGCGAAACGGACGAGAGGAGCTGTGAACTGTAAGAATGTGTTGTTAAAGAAGCTGAGAATGGAGACAATACCTGCTCAATAGCGCTGTTCAATTTGCGATTGGTAGGTACATTTTGAGCTCCAGTTCCTGTTGGCAGATTCATACCGGGGAAGTTACGAAGAGAAGGAATGGCTTGAGTCAAAGTTCCTAAGACAGGGATGCCAGAGGCGACATTTCCGAATGAACTGCTGGAGCCTACAGCTCCTTGTATTCCATTCAAGCCAGGAATGAAGGAAGAGATAAGAGAACGTTGGCTATTTGGTCCGTTAAGTCCAAGAGTTTTCATGCCTTCGTTAATCGTATCATTTGCTTTCTTCATCATCAAATCCTTCAGTCTGAGGAAGAGAAGGTTTGTTGATTGCAATTTTAATGAACACTAACCTGACTCCGGCGTATTTGGCTGGTCCAACACAAGAAATTTCTGGTTGGAAAGGTAAGAAGGTACGAACATGGAAGCTAACAAGATATTGTACGAACCAATCGAAAGCTTCATCACACACAAGTTGATTACCTAGAAAGAACACAAACGTTTAAAACCTCAAACAAGTGTTTATACCGTCTAAGAGAATATTGGCAATTTTCTTAGTGAAGGTATCTTTTTGGAAAGAGCTGATCTTGTTGTTGGAAATATCCAGCCAGAAGAGTTTCCCTTGTCCACTGAAAGTTTCCTGGAATGTACAATATAATAAACACTTCGTGAGTACTTCCTCAAACCTTGTCAATTTCCGTGATCTTGTTGTAAGCTAAATCAATAACAGTCATATGAGGAAGTGAAGTGAATGCACTAGGATGTACTCGAGTAATGGTGTTATTTCTAAGGTTAAGCTGTTGCAAGTTCTTCATTCCATCGAACATTCCACGTTCTTAAATACCATTCGAAATAATATTTTTGAAAAGCACATGTTAAGAACTAACCGATAGTAGGAATGGAATTGTTGGTTAATAACAGAATGATTAATTCATCCAATGAGTCAAAGCTGTTACGAGAAATTTGCGAAATGTTGTTATCCTGAAGAGATACGATCAGTCAAAGCAGACATGAATGATCACTTACTTGAATGCTGATCAGTTGTAACTTGGGATTATTTGAAAACGCTAAAGTCTCAATCTTATCAATCAAATTACCATCCAATCGAACTTGTTTCAGGTTTTGTAAATCTTTAAGTGAAGGCAACTGTAATCATCAGAAGTTAATGAGAGAAAGGTAGAGTTGACTTGTTAACCTTTTGTAAAAGATTGTTGGTGACATCAAGGATTTCAAGTTGTTGGAAAGCCTGTAGACGGTTTCCATCAAGATTGCTAATAAGGTTATCCCTGCAATTAGACAGTTATTACTAGATGTTATCCTCCTCCTCTATAGTCCCTGGTGTATTTTCGCGGCGACTCATTTACCGCTGTTCGAAAATTAGCATAATTGAAATGGCGCAACAAAAGTCAATTTGAAAATTACTGACGCCGACTACGGTCTCATTTTTCTGATCTCATAGGAGTTTCAAATGGTGACGCGCAGGACAATTGCATTGAGAATAAGATATTTCGTAGTGAAGACCAACCTCATGTAAAGGAACTGAAGTTGTGGAACGTTCATAAATGCCATTGGGTGAATGAGATTAAGCTGGTTGTTATTCAAACGAATTTCCCGAAGAAGTGGTAAGTTCATCAGTTCGAAGTTGTTGATCTAAATATGTAACTTCAGTCATCTTCCTTGTTGCTTTTGCAACCAACCTCAGCAATCTTATTATCCGAAAGATCCAAATACATCAATCGCCCACAATTACGAATATTCTGAGCCGGAATTGAACTGAGACAGTTATCGCTCAAATCAAGCAACTCCAATGTATTCTTCACCTCCGTCAACGCATTTCTATAATACTGCGCATAATTTTAACCCGATTAGCCGAATAACAACCTGTTGAGGGCACAAATACGATTTCGCTCCAGGCGTAAGAAACGAAGATTCTTCTGACCATCCAATGCTTTTGCGGCGATGTCGGTCAACTGCAACGATCATACTACGTCAAGATCTCTTTACAAAATGTTCAGAAACAGAACAATTCCTTTTATGCGAAGCCGTCAGGCAGAGAAGAGGTCATTCGTATTTCCTCCCTCACGAACATGTCCAATTGAGAAATATCGTCTTACCTGATTTCCGTTCAGATTCAAAGCGATCAATTTAGGCAATGAGCCAAGATCGGGAACAGCATTCAATCGATTATCAGCCAAGCTGAGTTCTTCCAAAGAATTGGCAAGTTGACGGAAGATCTGAAACGAAAGCAAAAATTTAAAATCCATTTCCCTTTCTTGCAATTTTTCATTCCCTTTCAACGGCTTTGGTCAGGCAATGCAAACGTGTCCAGAGCCTCTATACTTTGGAGTTGATTCTAGCTCTACCTAACCAGATTGGCGCGGCTTAAGCCTCTACAGAGTACATCCAGCTACGTGAATTACATCCAGTTTTAACGCAATCCTCATACACCTATTCACTCTCAATTCTCTATTCATAATGAACTTCTCTTGCATGCTAGCCATCATGCCTAAGTCTAGAATGGATGACTGACCGTTTCAAATTCACTTTCAACCCTCCACCTCATTTACGGCGTATGACCAGATTTTACCTTTCCTATGAATACTTCGCTTCTCGCAATACAAACTGAGGAAGATGAGAGAAGTGAAAGAACTAAAATGAAGGAGAGAGTGAATGAGTCAGGCGAAGCCCCGGCTGACCCAGTTACTACATAATCTGTTGAAATCTGTATCTGTACACCTCTCTGTCTCTCTCTCATTCTTTCATTTTCTCTCTCCTAGCCCTCTTCCTCGTCCCTTATTTGAGTTAAACAGAGAACAGAGTAGACCTGAGGGAAGAATCACATCCGGTCTTACAACTGTCGCAGAAATTGGCCAATCTCCAATCACAACCTTTAACAAAATATGAAATCTGTTGAGAGAAAAGATAATAAAACAACCGATTTGGTTTTCCCTTCATAAACCTTCATGCATGCAATGATACAAATATGGAACAGAGGTCAAACAAAGTGAATTCTTTTTTAAACTTCACATTTTACATCGAATTAGCCTTTGACCTATACAAGCCTTCAGAAGTAATGAGTGAGAGAGAGAGAGAGATAGACAGTTTGCCATACACGTACAAATTCTGTTCAATGATTCTCTCTTTAATCTTTAAATAGTTTGATGACCAATGACAGAATACGGATGGACACTGAACAACGACAGCGGCGACAACGTTCGTGTCGGTCAGTACCTAACAGCTGGGACACCGAATCGGCGATCACTTGAAGAATCAAACACCCACTGATGTTGTCCTGCCAGCGTCCTTCTAACAATAGCCGTAAAAGGAAATAGTTACTGTCAGCCAATCTGTCAGTTTTGAGAGGAGAAAGAATGAAGGAGGTGAAATGAAGAACCTATCTGTTCGTTGTACATAGGTGAACCCTAAGCAACAGCGACCTAATTACTTTCATATGTCACTTAATGCTTTTTAACAAATGAAAAAGAAAAGAACAACTGAAAGTTTCATTAACTTCATGTCTTCATGAGAAGATGTCTAGTAGAGCATAACTTGATAGGTCATGATATCATCATATCGAATCATCAGAGCGCTTGTTGACTGACAACACTCATCAACGCACATCATAAATATTGTGACCAATCGTACGAATCCCTTATGAAACTCTATATCACTTATCCCAAGCAATCATTTTCCTTTTCATTTCCAACTATCGTCAAAACAATCGGATATTTCACATCCTCAATTACATCTTACTTCAGTAAGAGCGAGAGAGGGGGGATTTCCAAAAAAAACGAGAAAATTACGTCAAGAGGACCGGAATAGCGGTGGGCATTTCAACCACACATCCCAGAGGGTGAGAGACATAACGATCAGGAGACCAAAAAAACCGCAAAATCAATTGAAATAGCATGATGTTCGCACAAATTTCATCTTCTCATCCACTCACTGATTGTTCCAAATCAAAAAACAATACCAGAAATATGTGTTAAAACTACAGTTATAACCAATTGAAAGTCAGAAAGGAACCCCGTAACCCCAATCAGCCATCATCATCGCCAGCACAAAAAAAACGCTCATCTCTCGTTAAATCTTAAGGACAACCGTTACACACTTTCATACCAAAAAAGAGAGAGAGAAAGATTTCCAAATCATGGAGTTTTCGTTCTGAATAGCATAGCAATAGCATAGCAATAGCGTACCTTCGCATCAACTCCTTTGATTCCACAATTTGATAATTCTAAGTAGCGGATGGACGTCTTTGGTAATACGTCAAGGAAAGGCTGTGAACAGTTCGAGATCTTTAACTTGTCCAATGGCAGATTTCCCAAATCCTATAACGAAACACCTGTTTCAAAAAGCTTGAAAAGTAAAATGTTGAACAAACTCTTATTGAACTCTTGAGAACGAGACAGTTCTTGTCAAACAAGGACTGGTTTCGATCAAAAAAAACTTGAACGAATTTCCCCTCCCAATTAAAGAGAGGAAGAAGAGAATTTCAACTCGTTCAAGCTTCATTTTATAATTGAGAAAACAAAATGTCACCTTAAATAGACTGCCTAGTATAGCTCCATCACATGACACAGATAGCTTTGCATCGTCTTCAACGGTACATGTGCATGTTGAAGGTAAGACAGGACAAGTTATTTCTGCCTTCAATACAACAACGCATAAGCCCAATAAGGTTAAAAGCCATTTCGGCCGAAGAGCTCTAAAATACAAAAACATTTATTGATTTCGCAATAAAAAGCTAAAAAATCATTTATATACACACATAGATGACAAAAAACCGATGACCCAAATTCCTGAGGTAGAAAGTATCAAGACGTCGACGACGACAATGCCGGTCAATTTCAAACGACCCCATGAACTTACACATGAATCATCAGGTTTTCATCGAACTAAAGCTTTTTCTCAGAAAAATAAAATACTAACCTGGCCATAATATTAGTCGAAATGAATGAGTTTAGTTAGTAATAAAGTTATGACGAACTCTCAACTGGACGATTGACACTCCAATGGGTCATGGGGATACAGCCATCCGGCTGATCTGCTCTTTTCAAAAAACTACAAAATACACGAAGATCAGAAAAGTCCAGATCACAAATAAAAAGATTAAACCGAAAATCACACATACACATACACACACGGAATTAGAACGAGAAAACAAAAGGGAGATGAAAGGATGACAGTCCTTGTAGGACTGTTTGGCGGGATGGCAAAAGCCTGAGAGAAGATGAAACTACACAATGGTACAGAAACTGTACGAAGCTTACTGATAATCAAAGAAACAGTTTAAAAGTTGTCCAGAAATGTAGCCTCTCTCTCTACGTATTTGAGAGTGAAATAGCGTATTAGGAAAGAAAACGGGGACAAGGCCGTCGTCAGCTAACCGCCCTCGTCCGCCCTCTTCTATCCTCTTCTCTCTTCTTCAGCACTGTATTTTCCATAGTCATTGAAGCAACTAACCGTCGTTCTAGTACCACAGGCGATGATGTGCTGGTAGGATCGGCGACAGTTAACACTGACAAGGAGGAATTGATAATCTACATGAATATAGTTAGTTATCAGGTCTGGCTCGGCGATCTGTAATACGCTGTTGCGATGATAGGTTCTGTAAATGGAAACGTTAATGAGATTGTGGAAGAGAAGGATTTGTGTTGTTGACGACGAAGAAGACACTTTCAAATTCAAAGAGAGAAAGAGAGAGATAAAGATTATCATCTGAAGAGAAGGTATTGTTATTATCAAGTCCATATCAGTCAACAAATTTCTTCTTCCTATTGTTAAAACAATTTATTAAGTTGACGAGTCACGACACTTCACATAATAGTTTCTGGATATAGTGGGAGGAGGGATATAATCAGTTAAATAAGGCAATCACATGATATGCAACATCACATATATCTATACCAATCCCTAAAACTCTTATAAAACTCTCTAAAACTCTACTGGAACGAATAAAATCCATAACAAACCATCACAGTAATTCTAAGGATGTCAGTGAAAGCCAGAAAAATGAAAAAAAAAGTGAAATGAGGAGTAAGAAAGCAATAAATAGATTTACAAGCTATATCTTATAGTATTAGTTAATATGAACCCAATAAATATAATTCCTGTTTCATAAATTAGGAAAGGTTAATCACATGTTTGTATTCACAGCTTCGAAATCACAGCAACAAGTTAGCTCATTCTTAATTGATAATCCCCATTTTGGGTCACATAACGTACCCATGGCAAGGCTTGATATCCACTCTTCTCTATGATTTTCAAATAACGCACCTGAAATTTGGTTCTATTTCGAAAAAAAAAACAAATTTCTCATTTTTCAGTCTTTTTGCAATTCAATTCGACGACCATGTAAAGATGGGAGGAAAAATATTTTTGAAATTACGCGGACTTTTCACGTGAACGACGTGCATGCATTCCTTCTGAACGCTTCATCATTTACCCTGGAGCAGCCGCACGGAACGGTCGGTCATAAGTCAAACTAGTCAGACGTAGGTTATTTTTTCTTTTCTTTTCAAAATTACTTTTAAATTTTCTTAATTTCATTACATTTCTCTCCGATATTCGGTGTTTCTCATTTGTTTCAAGTTCCGACCATGTTTCATAATTTATAAGTAGTTTCTACTCACCTGCAAACCACTAGTTGTATAATATGGAATTTCAAATTTAACGTTAATGGGTGGCCGTCCTTCCAGCTCTTCACTCACAATGGAGGGTAAAGAAAAATGAGCACGCATTAAATATTCTCTTCCACCTTAAATTGCTAATGATGGAACGTTTTTTGGCGAAAAACACAAACCAGGGAAGCTTCTAATAGTCCACACAAAGGCGTTGAGTTCTGGGACATACTTTACCGATCCGGTGCTCTAAAAATAACTTTGAATATTGAATTAAACTTTCTTCTTTCAAACCGTCTTGAACTTTGGTGAATAAGCATCCGAAGGAACAGGAATAATGACTTCTACATGATTTGCAATAGATTGCCTTTTGAATTGCGACTTAGCCTTTAATAAACCAAAGAAGTAAATCGCCCACTTTTGCAAAATGAAAACAAACCTTAACCATGTACTCAACACGGGAGTGCGGGTGTTTTTCGACTACACATTCTACCCAAATTAGTGGCTTAACCTAGAATTAGCGCCTGTTTACTCTTCAATGTTGTTTGCAAGCTTACCTGAGTTGTAAGTCTATAACTCATAAGCTCGAATTCACCATCAGGAGGAATGAAAGAAATTGTTCGCTCCGATTCAAAACGAGACAAACGAACGCATTGATGGAATTTCACGTCTTCGAGCTCTACTCCCTTTCCACCTCTTCCTCCTTTGAAACGAAGCTAATTAAAATGAACTTCGAAGAAAACAACATACGTCCCGCTCCCGCTTGTTGGAATATAACTTTGTCATTTAGTCCGAGCCGTAATTCAGGCATGCCACTAAGAACAACTTTCATCCTAATACTGCCTACTATTTCACTTCGTAAAACTGTTCCTTGAGCATTAGCCTTTAAACAAATTGTCTTAGAAACAAAGAGGATCATTTCTATCTTACCAGCATATTAACACTTTCAATAACATCAAGGAAAACTTCGTTCTTTCTGTACTTGATACCCTCTGAGCGCCACGAAACAGCATTTGTGACTGCTGTAGGAGGTCTTGGAGCAATTTCAAGTCGGTGTCCTTCTTGTGTTATGTATCTTAAAAGAGTAATTGCACAAATTCAAAGAAGTGCGTCTTACTCTTGCAGTATTTTGCCTTCAGTTGATTGTGGATAACCGAAGTCCATCATTTCATCGAACAACTCATATATTATCACAAAATTATCCCTTACTGATTCTTCTTCTAAATCTTTAAAGTATTCACAGAAAACCTTAAACAGTGAGTATTAACATAGAAGCAATGGATAGCTACTCACCTCAACACATTTATACAAGAAGGATAAAACTAGCCCCGCGTTCATATTTTTCTTGGCAACGCTAACCACTGAACAAAAATAATTAAAAGCTCAAAGAATATTAAACGTACAATAAACATTCGTGTGCTTGATGTAAGTATAGCTAATATCTCCATTTTGAACTACAGGAGAAACTATTCCTTCTTCTTCTCGCTCCACTAGTAATGGCATGAACTTTTCGATGCAACTAGTCTCTACATCGCCTCGATAGTTCCTTGAAACCAACACCTATCATGTTCAAACAGTTAATGATACAAACACAATTGAATACTTACATTTCCTTTGAAGTCCAATATAAAAATAGCGGAACAAGACATCGTCAGTCGTTGTCAAACTGCACCGGCCTTTTGACCAGTGTATGACTCAGACCTTAAACACAATTTATGCATGACTCGAATAATTAATTCGTTTATCTCGCGAAATAAAGCATATAAAAGAGGAAATTGAAATTGATGAATATGTGAAATAACAGCTTTTACTGATAAAAGCATGTCATTATCATAATTCGGACGATATTGCATACCTGGGCCACCACCAGGTGTATCGCGACGAGACTCATTTCAACACCTAGGCCGAGGACGGCTATGTGTTTGTGCATACAGAGAGAGATAGAGAGAGAAAAGAAGAACAAGAAAAGAGAAAGAGATAAAGAGAGAGCGATAGATGAATGACAGTCACATCGATGAATAACCATGTCGATGGTTGTTCTCTTCTTCATCTATTTGCCGTGTTTTCTAACTTTTCATTACAGCAAATCCTTAATATGTCCATGGGAACGTTTTATGAATCGTTACGACCTGCAGTATGGTTGTCTGCGATTTACAAGCGCCATGTTGGAACTTCAGTGTGTTTTGTGGAAAAAGTGATTTAAGCAGATGAAAGACACATCGCCTGATAGCACATGGTTTTATGTATTCTTTCGTCATTCCTTGTTTCGAGCGAGAAAGTATAAAAAATGTAGTTATAATCTTTATTAGAGCATTATGAATCCTTGAAACAGGATCATATTCCATAGAAATTGGAAGAGAAACGAATTTCTATCATCAAATGATATGGGAGAGACTGTTAAAACTTAAAAAACAACAAAAAATTTCAACGATGATATGTTTAATATCTGTAGTGATCTGGTTTGTATGGTCCTTCGATTGGGATTCCGAGATAAGAAGCTTGTTCGGTGCTGAGCTTGGTAAGCTTAACTCCGAGCTTCTCAAGATGGAGAGCAGCGACTTCTTCATCAAGAGATTTTGGCAAGACGTAGAGTCCGATCTTGTATTCTTGTGGGGTTCCGAACTTGGTCCAGAGCTCAACTTGAGCGAGGACTTGGTTGGTGAAGGAGTTGGACATGACGAAAGATGGATGTCCAGTGGCACATCCCAAGTTGACGAGTCTTCCTTCGGCGAGGAGGATGATGTGACGTCCGTTCTTCAAGGTGTATCTGTCGACCTATAAACGAATTTGTTTTAATCTAATTTATATATTAAGCTTACTTGTGGCTTGACGGTGTCCTTGCTGGCGGCGTTGTTGTTCAACCACTTAACATCGATTTCACAATCGAAGTGTCCGACGTTGCAGACGATGGCGTCATTTGGAAGAAGCTCGAAGTGCTTTCCGGTGACGATATCCTTGCATCCAGTGGTGGTAACGACGATGTTGGCCTTTGGTGCAGCCTCCTCGAGGGTGGTGACTTCGTATCCTATAAAACAAGATTTTAATCTTGTACTATAATGAATGTCTTACCTTCCATGGCGGCTTGGAGAGCGTTGATGGGGTCGATCTCGGTAACGATAACACGAGATCCGAAAGCCTTGAGGGAAGCAGCAGATCCCTTTCCGACATCTCCGTATCCGGCGACGACGGCGACCTTTCCGGCGAGCATAACATCAGTGGCTCTCTTGATTCCATCAGGAAGAGACTCACGGATTCCGTAAAGGTTATCGAACTTGGACTTGGTGACGGAGTCGTTGACGTTGATGCTTGGGATCTTGAGTTCTCCCTTAGCGAGCATCTTGGCCAAGTTGTGGACTCCGGTGGTGGTTTCCTCAGAAAGACCACGAATTCCGGCGATGTATTGTGGGTACTTTTGGTGGACAAGGTTGGTAAGATCACCTCCATCATCAAGGATCATGTTGAGTGGTTGTCCATCTTGCCAGACGATAGTCTAGAAATAAACACTTAACAAACTTTGCAACAGCAGATACATACTTGCTCAATGCACCATTCGTATTCCTCATCGGTCTCTCCCTTCCAGGCGTAGACTGGGACTCCGGCGGCGGCGATAGCAGCAGCAGCGTGGTCTTGGGTGGAGAAGATGTTGCAAGATGACCACTGGACGGTGGCTCCGAGCTCAACGAGGGTCTCGATGAGGACGGCAGTTTGGATGGTCATGTGGAGGCATCCAGCAATACGGGCTCCCTTCAAAGGCTTGCTTGGTCCGTACTTGGCGCGCATGGCCATAAGTCCTGGCATTTCATTTTCGGCAATGGTGATTTCCTAATAAAGATGATCAGATAAGATACATCTAGTATCTCTAAGTATTACCTTGCGTCCGAAATCAGCAAGGCTGATGTCAGCGACCTTGTAAGCGGGCTTGGAAGCGGCCATTTCAAACTGTGTATTACCTGCAAGCAACTTAGGTTTAACATGTCCTTTTTGCTACACACGAAATAAGAAGTACATGTAACGAGTTACGAGAAGTGAATGTTTGGAAGTAAGTAGGGAATCCCTTTATTTTGGAATTCGTGTCCCACCGCGAAAATTCGAAAAAAAATGTGAGTGTTGCAACGGAACACAGTGATTAAACCTTCCGATCAAACTCACTGCGGTGTTTTCCGTCACATCACTCTCAAGATCAAACTCTCAGTCGTTCTCGTTCAAGATTCAAACGAGAAAGTGCAAGATAAACTAAACAGTTTAGTTTTGTACTTGTGAGAATTGAAACTATGAGAATCGTCGGAACGATCTTGTTTCATTTGATTTTGTCTGTTTAAATGCCTTTTGATGGGAAAATGGTGTCAAAAAGGTTTTCAGTAGTAAGCCTATCTGGAAAACTAATTAAGTTTACTGATAAGATATCATCGTCTTTCACTGCACACTGGTCTGGTCCTTACCATCATGTTCAGCTCGTATCTCTACGGCGATAATGGTAAGGAAGCAATCCAATTTATACTGTTTGAAAACTCCGCCCAAATATAAAACATTGGACGAAAAGTGGCGCCACATGAAAATGAACTGGTGATCAGTGATAAGGATTCAAAATACATTAACAGTTGAAAGGACATTGCTGAGGTTTACATAAGCTATGTGCGACTTATTTTTTTGGGCTTGAAAAACAGCAGGAATGACGTGATGTAGGAATAGTTGATTCGGCGACATAGCATATTGACGGTGAACAACCGCTCGCTAGCGGGACACACATGGACTGACTGACAATCGGACTACCTTACTCTATCGATACGTGTAATCTTAGCTACAAATCTTTAAGAAGATGACCCTTCGTAGATTTTGGAGATAACAACAAGTTCAAACGCTCGATCTTTGTGATCAACGGCAGAATACATTGGATAAACCTCCAACACACGCTCCATCCAGAATGAGCTGGATTCCAGTTCTGGAATGTTGCAAATATATTTTCATCGCGGAACGAAGAAGGAACTTTTCATAATGAAAAAAGATTTTGCAGCTTGCAAGAAACTTCGGTGAATTATGACAATTGTATTCGATGACGATGCCATCCGAATTCTGATTGTTTGCAGAGAGACTCAAACGGCATGAGCGAAGCTGCAGCATTCGTCTTCGAAAATGGACGCATACTTTACAAAGTTCTTTTTTTAGCTTCGCTATCTTTCATATCGTCAAATTCAGAAGGTCATTCGTCGGCAACGAGCATTGATTAGCGACGGAACATAAAACTTTTTTTGTGTATATTGCCCTTTCCCATATCACTCCAGATTCATATGGCACAATGAAACGCTAGATACACATGTGTGTGTGTGCATGTGTGTGTGTGTGTATGCGTGTGTGCATCAAAGACCTTTAAAAAGTGAGCACAACGGAAAGCAACCGAATAAGGTCCGTAGGGAGAGAGATGGAGTCGACATGAGGCCAATTACCGAAATACATACAAGGAAATACTCCTGCTTCATCTATTAACTTACACAACAATTAACAAACAGAGCATTTTCTTAGAAAGAGATATCATGGAAGAGGAAAGGAACAACATCAAAATGTAACATTAAAGACTGATAAGTTAAAAAAAACAGGAAAATGCTATTAAAACAAATAATAACAGCCACAACGATGCGTGAAATAGATTACGAGGTTATCTTTAGAGATGCTTCACGACGAAATAGATTATCTATAGTACGGGAGAACCATTTGGGAACGTTTGTGTTCGATGTAACAATCCAAACAAAATTAGAAAGCATATCTGGTTCTAATATCTTCAAGTTTTTTAGAGATCTGTAAGATGTGTGATTGTAATAATCATTGTGTTTTCTATATATCCTCACCTCACTGACAGTTTTGTCCAACTCCTCAGATATTTCTCTTTGTTTCGAAATATCCATGAGTCCAAACTGTTCGCACAAGTCACCATCAACAACATCCTGAACAATAAAGTATAGGCTTCCTCTCTCTACATCTTCCTCATATGTATTATTCTGCAAAAACTTACTTTGCATGGATGATAGTAGGATCGGAAGGCCAGATGGTCCCGGCCACATAAAGGAGGAAACTCTGATCGTACGTGCATTTCAAGATTTTGGAAGAATGCGTGTTCCTGAAAAGAAAACGCTAATTATACATCCATTTCTCATTTGCTGCCTTTCAGTTCTAATTGTCACCAATAAAAGAGCCTATAACTCTCGCTAATCGTGTTACATAAGAGCAAAGCGGAAACATGCACATGTTCTAAGCATTCCCATGTCCATTTCATCTCATCTCATCAAGCTAGCCAAGGTGATATCAATAATTCTTATTTTCGTCTTCATATTGCCTATTTTCACTTATTCGTTTTGCTTCATTATTTCAAGTTTCATTCATAAGAAACCAGACTGCCAAACTTCTTTTCACAATCTTCATCGAGAGCTCTCGAATTCACTAGATGGAGAAGAATGAAAGCAGAAAACTTTGTTTTGTTTCTAGGCAGCCCTGCTCAGTAAAACTTTTTTTAGGATTAGTTAATTAAAGAAGAAAGACTTCAATAACTGCCAATGAGAGAGAGAGGGGGAGAGAAATGCCGAATAATAGTACAAAACGTTTGATATGAAGAGATAAATGGGGAGGAGAGAAACGAGACGAAAGATTAGGAGGGAAGTCCCTCCTTAACCCAATCGCAATAAATATTCTTCCGCGAAATAGCTCTCTCCAAGTCGAAAACAACACTTGGTGCTAATCTACAAGCCTCACAGCTTTTATACTAAGTTAGTTTTCATAACCTTCCCCGGTTTCTACATCTTATTCCACTTTCTGTTTCGAAACCTATTAGCGAGTTTGGCTTACTTCAAAAGCTAATCTTACTTGTTTGCCCTATTCCACTACGAGTCAAGGTGAACCTACATAAGATTAGAAGAGCTCTCTTCATCACATCGGTAGAGGCACAATGTTTTCCTCATTCCAATCTTCTCATCTATGCTCCTCATGTCCCCATAGACGGAGACTAAGCCCAGTCTCAAAGCACCAGAGAAAGACAGCTGTGGGCTTCGTTGTTCCTGGCTTACTTCATCCCCTCCACCCGACATTTCTACATATTGACTGACTGCACAGAAGTATTTTCTAGTTATAAGCCCGTTATTCTTTTTAAAATTGAAGAAATGTTATTTATATATTATGTCTGGAAATGGCGAAACAGACACTTAGTTCATAACCATCCCATTTTCATATGAATTAGGAGCTAGATGAGATGAGCTTATGTTGCCATTTTCAGTTTGTTAACAGAAACCTATTAGTTCTCAAGCTCTAAAGCTGTGCGAAGCAAACAAAAACGCCAACCAAGTAAACTTCCAATAGCGCATATTAAATATCTACATACTCTATTTTCTTAGTATCACGTCTTTGCAATAATGATCATCGTAATATATACTCCGAATCCTCGCGAGACTATGTTTTACATTTTTCTAATCAGTTGGCTTCTCGATTTGTAGTCAAATTAGTTAATGACGTATAAGCATTTATAAAAAGAGATATGATCTTTGAAATCGAAAAGAACTACAGACTTTGATTTCTCCCCCCCCCCCTCCTTTTCAATTGTGTGTGGCGCCGTAATTCCAACAAAGGCCCTCTCCTCGAGAGAACTACAAAAGTTTAGCCAATGCGCTTTGTATGAATGAAAAACCGCCAGATGATTTGAAATCATATAACTTACGTCTTTTGAAATGAACGGAACCAAAATTCCAATGGCTCCTCCGATTGTTGTGTAGACAATGCAGTCACTCGCTCCAGGAACAAGCGAAGTTTTCTGCAGCGAGGTGATCATGTCACCTGCGTAGAAGACAGTTTGAAGTTCAAGCTGTAATAATGAAACAAGTCAGTGATCTTTAAGCACCTAGCAAATTTCTGTCACTCAAGTCTTCAAAACAACGTTTCGTAAGAGTGATAGCTTCGCGCCGTGCTTCGGGTTAAAAAACCAACCTTTTGAGAGGCTCCATTCAATGCTCCGCGGTCCCAAAGTGATCGATGAGCCGTAGGGTCCTCCTGAATATCCTCGTTGATCTTTTCTGGCAAACGAAGCTGAAAAAGAGTTTGATCAGAAGGAGCTCAATAGACATTCATATTCTAAGAATAATATATATATTCTGTGATGATAGAACACAAGAGTGTTGGCAGTTTCATTATGATCGATAGACCAAAGGGAATGAGTAATTTGTGATCAAACTAATCATATAATAGACTTTTTAGCTGATTCTAATAAGCCACAAATTAATTAATGCGGCTGTCTAGTTATGCAGATAAAAGTTAGCTCACTAGAAAACAACTATTGCTGTTCATTACGAGCAGAGAATTCAGAGAATTAATTCATTTTCAATTTCTTTTTTTCCCATCAATCGCTAATATAATAGTATGATGACTTCAGCCGATAGTTAAAAAAAAACTTAGTGTATCTCTCTCTCTTTGTGAACTTTGATTTTGCTTACTACCTGCTGATCCCAAACATTCATGCGATGAGGCAATAGAGCATTGAATTATTCGGCAACATAAATCTCGCGGTCTTTCCCAAGCAAAAAAAAACTGCTAAAGCTTTTCATCTCGCGATATATACGTCCGCATATCTGCTTCGAACTCTTTTTCTTATTCAGTATTCAAAAACAAAACAACAAACTACTATTTTTCTGTTATTTTCAACAGCAAACCATCTATTTTGAGTAGCTGTGATCTTTTACACTTGTTAATACAAGGTAGCGTCGAAATGTTAATTGACTCGGACGATGCTTAAGAATCTTCAAATTTAGAAAACATCTAGCGAGTTATAAGCAGATTGGAAATGCAAATTCCGTCGGCGCATCTGCATTTATATAATAGTATTAGCATTTATTTCCTTTTAACAATAATAAGGAAAACCACGGCGGAATAAGATAGCAAGCAAGTTGAGTAAGCAAGCAAGTACCGCATGCTTAGCTTAGATCCTCAAATTACTTTGAAACCAATTTAAGCTCTTACATATCTGCGCTTCTATTTGAGAGGTCAGAACTTCTGGAATATGAAGCTGAGCCTATCGAGAACGAATGTCTCTAGTCTTGACTTATCTTTGTTCTCTATTTTCATTCGCTCTTTTGTTCTCAAACAACATCACTCACTATATTATTATGTTTGATATTTCCCGCTTCACTCGTTCTCGGGAATATAAATATATAATTCGCTATTAACTCGCAAACTTCAACTTGTGACATATGGAACACTGGTTGGAAGTTATTTTCGCATTCCATCCAAGAGTAATTAAAACCGTATTAATTTTTAAACATTTAAGATTACTCAATTGAATGAAAATGTTCCGAAAAGTGGAGCGAATGGAAAACATGAATGCAACCGCTTTGTGCTTATGACAAGGTGGAAAATCTAGAAAAAAAAACTTTTCATCGAAAAACCATTTCAAAATAATGCTTTTTGTTCAAGAAAAATGAATAGACGATTTGTTTTCAAAACATAAAGAGCTATCGATGTTCGATGTATTTTTTCTCACGCCTCTGATATGTTCCTGCTTTTTTGATAATTGAAAATTTTCTTCCTTGTCTGCGTACCACTAAGTAGTTCCACAACAAAATTAAGCGGGTTGTAGGCCTTCACATGATAAGTAAGCGCCATCTCCGACCAAATTAAATATTAGCTGCCTTTTCGACATATTCCTCTTTTATGAAATATTGCAAGCTCAAATGAGGAAATCCGACATACCAATAAATAGCTCGTGTTGACCGGAGAAAGTTAATTAGATGCACCAAATTTGATTTCGGGGAGCACTTCAGAAAAATATTACGGATGTATACACACTAATCCGTGAGTGAAAGAAGTACCTAGTAGATTCTAGCTTTTGATTTGCCCTTATAGAGCACTTCGCGACCTCAGTTACTCAAACGCCAAACAATTTTAAATTCTTATACAACAATTGACAATCTCTCAGTTTTCTACATCATTTTCTCAATCGTCCCAACTCGCTCATTTTCTCTCATTCTCACTCAGGCTGCTGCTTGAACGCATTCGAACATGACTACGTAAACAGCTTCTTGCTTAAATATCGCTGTTATTCGAAAAAAATTTATATTCGCGAGACTTCAGAAGTTCTGACAGAATCAGTAACTTGTGCATTTTTTTTTCGTTTTCGTTAAAAAGTTCATTTTCTGAGAATAATCGACTTCAAAAGAATATAAGTTCTCATTTTCGTTTGATCGCTACATCTCGGATTGTTGAATACAATGTTTTAACACTCAAAGGCTAAGAGTATCGAGATTCATTCCTATGATTGAAATTCAACACATACTCCCCTACAACTTACACACAAAAACAGTCGACTTGAGTGATAGGGCAAGCGCGATGCGTTCCGAATTTCGTCCTTGTTTATGCCAGTGATACACCACAAACCCTCCCAAGACAATTCCAAAACACGCGCTGTGCATGTGAAATGATTATTCATTTCAATACATGCAAACTTTGATTCAATCAATTGTTGTGCACTGCTTTTCAATGACATTCCCCCCAGCTCTCGCAATTTATAATAAGGCACATCTATTTCTTTCTCCAGATGCCCCACAACTCCACTTACTGCTATTGATCTAGTCATTTCTACGTGCCAGTTTTAGTGAAAGCATCCAATTATAGCTGATGTTACTGCATCATGCCCAGCTTGGGTGCTCTCAACTTGTGACAAAGATATTACAGTTCATGCAGACGTGATGATGGCTACGCGAAAATCGATTGTATAAGATACCTCGCAGAATCTCATGTTTTTTCTTATTTTTCAACAATTTCGTCGTCAACTTCTGTCCGCCTTTTTTCTCAAGCCCACATTTCTCCGCTTCTGTTCTTCTAAAACGGTTGTTCTCGAGAAAATACGCTTGATCGAGCAAATATGAATAATTCACGTAAATCGTTTCCACTTCCGGAAATCAGAGAAGGTGAGCGGAGCAATTCTATGTCTTATAGGTAGATGTTGCTTTGTCGCTTAAACCTTTGTTGTTCTCGCCGTCGTTTATATCGAACTAGGCGCCACACTCATTTTCATTCTTTTTTCTCTTTTTCTTTTCCAAACATGCTTATATATATATGTGTGTGTGCATACATATATATACTTTGACATACTCGCTTCACACTATCTATATCTATCGAACAAGTCTACAAGCTATATTATGCGTTTCGTATCTATAGAAATTAGCGTTAGATATTCTAAATGTTAAAGGGACCACTTTCGGCCGTTTTCCACGCCCTCTCGAATTCCTTCCAAAGGAACAAAATATTCGCGTCATTTTTTCAAAATCTAATAAAAACGTACTATGCTGATATTTCCAAATTTATCTCCAACAACCACAGTGTCGTAATCCAGAACGCACATACAGGTTGTGTATCGAGGAGTTGTATCATCACAGAAGATTACGAGCTGATTTTCCTGAAATAGACTCTTCATTATGAGAAAATAATTATATTAATCCTACCAATTTGCGATATCTACAGTAGTGAACGGACTCTTGACTGTCTGCAACAATAATCCTTTGCCCTGTTGATGTAATTCCAGTAATTTGAACGGGGAAATTCTGAAAAAACAGAAAAGCATTTATTGGTAATGATTTCCTTATTAAATGGATCTAAGTACGTTACGTGAGTACTATGTGACCATATATAGCAATCAATCATCAGCCTAGCGCACAACAGAAAACAACGCCTACGGGCTTTTCATATAATATTCATTAGCATACCCCAACTGACTAGTTTTCTCTGCGACAACCTCCAGGATTGGGCCTTTCATCCTTCTATCTCTTTCGTTTTTCATCTACTTCTGTGAACTGCTTTATTGAAGCGAATAAAAAACAGAGTTTCTTGGAACCCCCTGATGATAAAATTCACCTACTTATTCAAGCTGATTATGTGAATTAACACATCGACAACTCACAATAATTAGTATGTATGCAAGGCTGATTCTTCCCATGCTCAGCTAAATCAAATATACGAGCAGCTCCTATCGAACTTGGTAACAAGCATCAAGGAAGAAATTTCCAATATTTTGACTTGTTTACCGTCTTTTTTTAAGATATCGATTGTTGCTATTCTCGGTATGCATTTTCTTCAAATATGATAAAGTTTGAATTCAATATGATTCTGAGATCGCGGCGAAAGCTAAGCACCTCGGAGGTTTCTGGCAAGTTACGTTATGAAACCATCTTCTTACTTGAAATAGCTGCATTACTACCACTCGCAAAACAAATATATTTATATCCTATACCAATAACTAAGCAGCAAAAGTCTTTGCTATTTTAAGCACGACGTTCCAACACCTCAGCTGTTTTTATGTCAGGTTCCTCTCAACATTTCCCATACTCCCTCATATCTCAGCCCCATGTCTCTACTTCTCTTCTTGCTGTTTTACTTTGACTTCAAATGAAAAGCTACTTGATTCAATACTATGAGAGCTTTTTCTTTCAGGATTTCGCATGCCTCCTAGTAATTGAAGAATGGATGAGCTGATAATGTCGGAAGACTTGCTCATTAACAAAACGCAATGCACGTTCTATGAATGGTCAAGAGATCCTCAGCATGCCACGTTTTTCCGAATATTCTCAATAATATCTGTGTTAACCGTTCTGGTATTTGTTGTCGTGTTAGGAAATGCTCTAGTTATTGCTGCTGTCTTATTACGTCGAAGACTTCGCTCAGCTACCGGGCTACTCATTTTATCACTGGGAGTAGCCGATTTAATGGTATAACATTTTCTTCAAACTCTAACATTCAACTTTAAATATAGGTTGGAATCGTCATTCTCCCGTTCAGCATTGCTAACGAAGTGCTTAGTGGCTATTGGATATTCGGAGATACTTGGTGCACGATATGGGTGACTATGGATATTTGGATGTGTACCGCATCAATCTACAACTTAGTTGCTATTTCTATAGACCGCTATATAGCTATAATCAAGCCGCTCAATTACCCAATGTTGGTGACCAAATTCCGGGCTCGATGCATTGTAGCCCTTGTCTGGATTGGTTCTTTCCTCATCTGCAGTCCTAGTTTTTTCGTAGGCGGTTCATCACTACCTGAAGACAAATGTAAATGCTCTCCCGCAAGTGCAGGTCGAGCTTACATCATCTTCTCCGCCTCAAGCAGCTTCTATGTGCCTATGATAGTTGTCATTTTCGTATATTTCCGGATTTATATCGCAGCCAGAGCAGCGACCAAAAGCATTTACTCCGGAATGATGCAGGTATATAACGAAGGATGTATGGTTGTACGGAAAATCGTATAACCACATTCGAAATGGTCAGCGAAGCAAAACGGAGATGTTTTTTAGGTCACAGCTAATGCCAATAAGAACACCAAAAGCTATCTGCTCAATCATCCAAGTGTACTAGCAAAAGAATCTTTACCAATGCTTCGGGTTCATCGGGGATCATCAGTTGCCAGTATTCGTCCATCAAACATCGTTAATAAACATTTGTATGATCAAATTTCCCAAAACGGAAATTTCAAATGAGCTTTTCAGAAGTAGCAGTCAAACAACCATGAATGGGTCAACAGCTTATTCGAATGCCGCATTGGCAAGAAATAGTTACTCTCCATCGCCTCATCAGAATGGACCAGCGCCGATTAACTCGTTAGAAACTCCAGAGAATGACATGGAAAAGCAAAATGGAGAGATGGATCTTCCAGCAAGGTAAACGTCAATCAAAAAAGTGGTTACCAGTATTCTCAAAAAATTCAGCAATGAGAAGAGAAAACGAAAGAACACAGACTCCGATTCCAAATCACCCAGCAAAGTATTGCACTCAATCAACCCGCTCAAAAAGCTCATTCGTAGGGGACAAATAAAAAAGGTACCGCTCAAAGAGGCAATTATAATAATTTGTGACAATTAAGGCTGGATGTGCTTATGAAAAAAGACTGTCATTAGAAATAAAGGCAGCTAAAACAGTCGCTATCGTTACTGGATGTTTCATTTTTTGCTGGCTAGGATTCGCTCTTATGTATGGATTGGAACTAGAGACAGATGATGTCACTTGGTCAATCGTCTTTTGGCTTGGATACTTAAACTCGGCGCTTAATCCAGTCATCTACACTGTTTTCAATAGAGAGTTCCGGACTTGTTTCAAACGTCTTCTAACATGTCATCATCTTAACCATCCTAACACTACAAAAGTTAGTCAGAATTGTATAAGAGCTTCACATTGATCTTTATACTGCTTTTTTAGTATACGAACAACTCGTATAACTCAATAGCGAGGACGGGAATGAAAAACCGAGCATCATCATCACCACCACAAATGCAGATGTACTCAACTAACCCAATGCCAACATCGAGCAAATAAGCACCGAACAACTTCTCCTCCATCCAAAACGAATCATTTCTAATCGGGTTCTTAATTTCGCATAATTTTACGTTCCGGTTGTAAAATACTTAATAACTGTGAATAAACCAAAACGTTTTCCGACATATTCCTTTGACTGATTGAATTTACGCCTCACCCCCGCTTACGCACAATCACATAACTTATGGGGTGATAAAGAAAAACATTCGAACACGCACCTTGTTTTCACACTTGGCCAGCAATTTCTTCTGTCCAAAGTCATACATTCTGAGATGACATCCGAATCCGACAAGAGCTGCTCCACGGAAATCATGGATCGCAGTTACAGGCTAAAAAACAAAAATAAGAAAAAAACAGAAGTTCAAAGATCACCATACCATAGGAACTTCAGTTTTGTGAAGTAAATCGAACTTTTCTCCAGCACTAGATAACAAGAAGGTGTATATGCATCCTTTACGATGTGTTGGGATAGGTCCTAAGCGTTGACCAACACCACATCCTACAAGAGCCAACAACGATTCCGGATGATTTTTGAACTGTACGATTGCGATACTGAAAAGAAAAACTTTGTCAACTAATTTTCCATCGAAAAAAACAAAACACGAGAAGGACACTTCTCGTGCACTGGTATCATTTTAACATGCATCTCTATAAACAATCCAGAGGGGAAGTAACTCACCACTTAGCAGCTTCATCCTGAGGAAGTTCAAAGTACGATAGTACATCTCCAGTTTTAGGATGAACTAATCGAACACACGAAGCCCATTTCCCTAAAAGAACATAACAATCAAAGAAATTAACGCATTAGCTATACCAGGTCCAGCTTTTGGTGCACCATAAACACTTTCATCCAACTTATTATCTCTTAGAGAGTTGGCAATTTCTTTGGCTAATTCTTTCTCTTCTGCATCACTTGCCAAACGTTCGATATCCTGTAAAAATGTTGAAGATCATTAGGAGCCAATGGCTAATACCGCACACCAGCACACGCACACTAACATTTCTTTAGCAATCGAAGTCAATACTTCATTGGCAAGAGAACCTGTAGTCTCACGATTTTCTTGCCAATTGACTGCAGAGACCGAACCATGGACCTCATAGTTCAGTCATGATACTATCCCACTACACCAAAGACACTTACCTCAGCCATTTCTTCCTTCTTTTTGTGTTTAGTTGACTCAGTATATGAGGCATAATCCGACTCAATGATCATTAAACTTCCGGCCTGAGGATGAATAATCATTTTTCTTGGGGTGTGTTGTAGCTGGAACTCCGACTGATTGAAAGCAACTCCCAATTTTTCAATAGCCATAATTCTGATGAAAACTTAGAAAAACATTTCAAGTGGACTATACAAACCTCAACGTCTTCTCTGCTATAGCTACGATTCCTTCGCTACACTGTTCAGAATTGAAACTAGCAGCGAACTCTAGGGTGGTATAACTTAACGGGGTGAGATGGAAACGGTTTTGGTAATGATACAATAGCCACGATCGAGATGATGTGCACAAAACCTGTAATGAAGGAATAAATTCAAAACGAGATTATATTAACTCACAGCATCCTTATTTTGACTGCGTACTCGGAATAACTTTACTGGTCTAGTACCAAGATATCTAGTTCTGGTGTCGAGCATATCTCCAGTGACATTATCAACAGTGGTGCGCAATAAACAACCATTCTGAACAACCGTAAGAATCACATCCTGAGAGAAAAACATACTTGTAAGCCAATATTCAAAAGAATAGTTGATGTTCCTTTGAAGTCATCCGCTCTAGTTTCAAGAAGTAAAAGAGATTCTGGTAAGTATGGAAGAGCTTGAACACTAAAATCATAAGGTTAGTCAGGCGATTATGGAGAGAACATGCCTTAAGAAAGAGAGAGTATCGTTAGGATCTAAAGAAATGACTTTTACTGAAGCGTCACTTGTACCAATAGCCAAAAAGCGAGAACGTATTTCTCCCTCTGGTATTTCAGACAGACTCATGCATAGAACATCGACATCTCTGAGCACCTTGCGCTCAGTGAATTCATTCAGTTGTCCAGTCTAAGAGAGAGACGTAAAATTCATAAAACAGCAGAACGAACGTACAATGTCAAGTTCGAAGTAAACGATTTCACTTTGTCCTCCACCAGTTAAGGCAATAGCAACTTGTCTTCTGTAAACAAATATATTCAAAATATTAGTATTCAAGAGTATTCACCTGTTCATCGCGCATTTTACAATCTGACGACGACTAGGAACTTTCCACTCGTTTACACGCTTATCAGAACGAATATGTCTAATACCTTCAGCATAAATCTTGACAAAAAAAAATGAATCAACAAATTAAGACCAATAAAAACCTGGAGAAGGGCATCGTCTCCGATCAGTCCGCAACCCAAAGTTGGAGCACGATCGAGGAAACCAGAATCATTAGCTTCTTCGACAGTTTCTCCGATGGTCAATACAAGAGTAGCGTTAACGAAAGATACAACGATATAAGAGTCATGATTATCTGAGATTAAAATTGAAAAAAATATATTCCGAAATAAAATTTACCATCGACGTTTTTCTTGACAGTCCATACTGCATTCGGATTACCAGGAAGTTCCGAAACGGCCATTTCAGTTACTTCCAGACCATTTCTCAATACTTTCAGGTTAGAGCGTGGACCTCGACCAGAGAGACCATATATTTGAGGTGCATCTTCTTTTGCCAAGTCTCCTACCTAAATGAATTCGATCTAACATATAATGGAAGATCATATCTCACGTGAGCTCCTAGCAACGGTGCCAAACTCTCCATCTTGTCAACGAGTACCAAACTTCTTAGTTCTCGAACACCATAAAAGAAAGTCTCTCCTTCGTCGAGCTGCAGTTTTGATGAAAACTCAGCTTCATCATCATCTTCACCAAGATTAGCAATCTGGTATAAATGACTGAAATCAGGGAAATACATAACAGTAAACAAAACAAAACATACTGATTTCCATATTCACTTGCAACAAAGAGGAAACCAGTTTTCAAGATGCACATAGCACTTGCAGGAGGAACAGTATCGAAGTATTTTACTTTCATCTCTGTTACGAGATCATCATCAGTCTCGAGTGTGACCTAATGAAGCAATATGAAAACATGAAAAATATTGAAAAATAAAGTTACTTTGAATAGATCTCCCTGTTCAGTTTGAACGAGGAAAAAGAAAATAGACTTCGTCTTATGCGTGGCTGCTGCGATAATCATGAGAGTTCTATCAGGATCATCAAGATCATTCTAAGAGGTTACATTAATTATGTATTTAAAGAATCCTGCTTACGCGGCGTCTTGGAATAGGACAACGAATGTCAGGCTGATCACCCAAGTTTTTGTAGACTAGTGAACCTTCGCAACAAACAATAACTCCAGATGGACCTTCATTACCACCGGGAACTGAAAAATAAAATTCAAGAAAATGAAAAAAAAATTGGAAGACGTGCGACCGGTCAACAATGAGATTAACTACGTAAGTAAATAGCATGTTCAATGAGTATAAACAGATATTAGCATACCACGTTGCCACGCAGATATAGTACTTGCATGCAATTAGAAAAAATAAATTAGAATATTGAAAAATTGCACTTGAACATTTCGGAAAACATCGAAAACAAAACTCGAGAGTTAGTTTTGAAAAAAACGAATGAAACGTAAAAAGTGAAAGATATTTTGGAAAAAAAATTGAAAACAAGATCGCACCTGATATGAGCATATTTCCAGGTTCGTTCAGAGGCTCGGCATATTTACGAACAACATGATTTAATCCTAAATCCAATTCATAGAAAGTGAGTGTTTGTTGAGTTCTCTTGATAGCTTCTCCAGTCGGATCATTATCACAATCCTTCAAACAAAACAGTTTTTCCCCTCTTTTTTACAAAACTAAACCTCATAATCATATTCTAAGCAGGCAAAGAGTGGATTTTCGAAACCAGTATCGATACCAACCATTCCATAACAAAGAGTAAACTGCTTGTGTGCTTCGAGAGGTGACGATATTGTCAAATGGGCTTCAGCATCACGATTCATAATGTAAACTAATTTTTGACGCTCGACCGCACCTGCAGGAGAAAAATAGAAAACGAAATACGTTGAAACATACCAATCATGATAGCACGCCCCTTGGGATCAGCTGTAAGATAATGCCCTGGAACAGTTCTTCTGCACCCGGTTTTTCCATATGTTTCCTATATGAGGAAGTAATTAGGAAATGCTGGAGAGTAAAAAAAACAAAATACCTGATGAACTCTCTCGAAGACATTTCGTTCAACAACATATTCTAATATGACTATTCTTCCAGAGTCAGAGCCAACAGCAATGTAATCTGAAAGTTGTGAGTTTCAAAACTGAAATTTGGAGTCGAGTTGAACCTTTAGAACCTCCGGTGAGGCGGAAAGCCAAGAGAGATCTTATAACACCGAAAACTTCCTGGCTACATATGACCTTAAGCAACAATGAAATCAAATTTTCTCTTGATCAACTTACTTTCAATTTTCCGGTAGAAGGGTCACAACAGAGCAACTGTAGCGTCGTTCCTCGGCCGATACAGAGTTCCTAATAATTTCGAATTGAATAAAAATAGAAGCCGAGAAAGAAATTCTTAATCAAAACCTACTTGTGACTTTGGCTTCCCAGTAAAGTTTCCATGAATAGCTTGATTTATGCATGTCTGTCCTTGCAGAGTCAAATTATATAGATGCATGTTGACTTGTAGTTAGTTTCTTCACTACTAAAACATTTAACAAACAGGAACTGATGAAATTGCTGTTTAATTGATCTTCTTCAGCTTCTCTGTAATAAAAACGAAGTTATAATCTTCTATATATTCTATTAAAAAACAAATATTTAAATTGAAGCCTTTCAAACAAATTTTCGTTTTGAATGAGGATCGCAAAGCCGCGATCGTGACGGGACCTTTTTGGTGGGAAATGAATGAGAGTGTTCACCAAATTCCATCAGAATGGACAGAGGACCGACCTCCGTGGTAAGACCCAAATGGTTTTAGACCTCTAATATGGGTTTTTTAAGCAAATTATGCTTGTAGTATCAAGCTTGTGGTCGTGTAAGTGATGCTGATTATTCTAAGGGGCATTACTAATCAGCATTTTGTCGCATATATTGTCGTCAGAAGTTCCATTTTTGTATCTACTGAAAGATTAAATATTCTCCATTTTCTGAGAATTTCCTTTGCAGGCGAACAGAACAAGAAAGCTCAGTTCCAGGTATGACTCACAGATCTGTTGTCACACATGCTTTCATTTACATAAGTTATGAGGTAGAAAATCAGTCAAAGCTTGCTGTTAAGCTCAAGATGATTTCTAATTCTTGAGATTCTTTTAACAAATCTGAAACCACTGTACCATGTGAGTATTTTTCACGAGAGATTCCTATTTCTGTTTATCACAGCATAGGTTCAAAATAAGTTCGAAGCTTTGTGATACATGCCTTAGAGCAAGCGATGCGGTGATGCTGCTATTCGTTGTGACGATGACTACAACAGATTGGCTCACACTTCATACGTCTTGTTTTTCATAAATGAGCAAAGTAGTGTTACTATATAAATCTATCACTTTCCATATATGACATTCGAGCATATATGTAATGGAATACATGGATATAGTAGCATCATTCTCATTTTAATCCGTCAGCAGAAGCCGATAATGTGGGTTTCCAAGACAAAAACAGAAGTGAATCGCTGTCCTATGCATATACACAAACAAACGTACATACTTGAAGGTGATATTTACAGTTTTCTTCTCTTCATATAGCTTTTACTTCCTTGCAAATTCAAAAACAGCATAGTATAACCTGTAAATACTATGCGTGTTAGAGGTCTAGAACGTTTTGGGTCCTGCCACGGAGACCTAGTGGAACAAGATCAGTGTTGTCATGAAAATTAACTTTTTCACTTGTAAAAGATGATAGCAATCAAACGGTTTTCAAATTCTCATATCTATCAGTTTGGAAGATGTTTCATGTCTTCAAAAGCGAGGTTGGGCTCTAGCTCACGCCTCATTGAAGCATGGTTTGTATTCCTAGAACTGTGTAACCTTGCAATATTTTCAGTAGTAGCAGAACCGTCGTACGGAAAATGACTTCCGAAGTTGAGAAAGCTCAGACAGCAGTGGCTGAAGAGGAAACAATTTTCGGAAAAATCATTAAGGGAGAAATTAAAGCGAAAGTTCGCTATGAGGATGATGATGTAAATAAGACAAGGTTTCAAAGAAAGGTTTTGTATTCAGGTTCTTGCTTTTGATGACGTAAGCCCTCAAGCCCCAGTTCACTTCTTAGTCATTCCAAAGAGAAGAATCTCTATGTTGGAACAAGCTGTAGAGAGTGTAGGCGTCTGTTTTTGAAAAAAAAGCAAAAATTGTTTGCTTCAGGATACCGCTTTGTTGGGAAAACTTATGTTCGCTGCAGCCAAGGTTGTATAAAAGCTAAATTTTTTGTCATTCTCGAATATCTAGGTAGCGAAAGAAGCTGGACTCGAAGACGGTTACAGAGTTGTTGTTAACAATGGCAAAAATGGAGCTCAAAGCGTGTACCATTTGCATTTGCATGTTCTCGGTGGACGTCAATTACAATGGCCTCCTGGATAATATGTTTATAACTAGCTGTGGAAGTGTTGAAATAAATATTTCTCTTCCAATTACATACAATTATTAAGTTTCTCCATGCTGTTATTCCTATTCAAAGTATGAATCCCGCTTAGAGTGCAAGAAAGCTCTCCAAGCCAAAACAACTCAAAACAAACTGATATACACAGAAGACTAAGGCTATTGATGAGTAATTGAGAAATCATTGTTTACATGGTTTTTTTATTATAATGTTCTAACAATGAAACAGTTTTATAACTGATCCAGGCAACATGCATTCTTTTCGCGTCTGTAATAGGTTGCCAAGGTAACAGACGCTGAATGCACCTACAGCCTCATTACATCGATTCCATAGGCATAACATGTCTTTCGTCCCTATCAAAGATGGTGAGTTCACCAGCACGATATATGGAATGGTAGGTTAAATGTATCTATTCAAACAAGCCCCAAAATCTTAGATAAAAAATGAGAAATACCATGACGCCATCAGGGTTTTACAAATTGAGCTTCAACGATCTCCTCAAAATCGAGCAGCATTATCTTTACTCGGCTACTGCTACTACTACACTCAAGATTTTGTGAATGCTGCCGATTGTTATGAATATCTCTTTCAACACTTTCCTAACTCTCCCGAGTACAAGATATACTACGCGCAATCTCTCTACCAAGCGTTCATGATACCTGAAGCATTAGCTGCTGTTTCCACGGTACGTTCGATTTCAATGATTATGGTTTTGAAGCTGAATTAAGATAGAGGAACCCAGTTTACTAAACCAGGTGATCAAACTTGAAGCAGCTATTAAGTACAGAGAAGAAGATATGAATAACTCACGGATTCTGGTGGAACAGTATGATGTGGATGATCCAGATGTTGAAGTTAACCTTGGCTGTATTGATTACAAGGTATATATAACGATAATCGAGAGTGGTCTATTAGACTAAACTAAGCTAATGTGAAGAACAACCGATACTTTTGCATTGCAAAACTAAAATGAAAATATTTCAATTCATTCACGTATGCTAATGCATGTTTACGTGTAACTAACGTTTTGCAATTGGACAAGACTCATTCTTCATTTCCAGGAGGGAAACTATGACACAGCTTTGGATAAGTTCAACAAAGCTACTAATTCATTTGGCTATCAGGTATTTTCGATTCGTGGAAGACAATGAAAATATTGAATACAGCCAGAGTTAGCTTATGCTATCGCTTTGTGTCATTATCGGAAGAAGAACTATACCCAGAGCTTGAAATACATAACAGACATTATCGACCGTGGAGTTAAAGATCATCCAGGCAAGATTTGAGTTAGTAAATCAAACTATTGATTTATTTCAAGAGTTGGGAGTTGGCTTCGCTTCAGAAGGAGTTGAAATGAGTTCTGTAGGGAATACCTTGCTTCTGCACGAGACTTCACTGATAGAAGCCTTCAATTTGAAATTTGCGATAGAGTATAAGCTGAAAAACAGTAAGCCACTCATGAGTTTTTGCTTCAACATGACCGAATTTGAGTGCCAGCTGCAAATGAAGCCTTGACTGATATGCCTCCGAGAACTGAAGAAGAACTTGACCCGGTCACATTACATAATCAAGCATTAATAGGTAAAATTACAAAGTTGAATGAAAAGCGAATAAGCGGTTCAGGTATCGACACCAATCCTACAGACGGCTTTGCCAAGCTACAGTATCTACTAACGCAAAACCCATTTCCTCCCGAGACATTTGTCAATCTTCTTCTTCTGTACTGTAAATATGAGGTATTGTCTTATATTGAGAGAGAGAAGCATAATTCCCTTATAGTACTATGATTTGGCAGCCGATGTACTCGCAGAGAATGCTCATTTGACGTACAAGTATCTATCTCAGTACCAATATGACTATTTGGATGCCCTAATCAGCCAGCAAACAGCACCTGAAGAAGCTTACGCTAAGTTTGATACTATGGCTAATGAATTAATGAATGAACTGAGAAAAGTGACAAAGAGAGCACAGGTTAGTAACTATGAATTCTTATAAAACGTTGAGTTAAGGAGTTGAAAAGGAAGAATGATGATGACGTTGTACAAGCTGTCAAAGATTTTGATGAGATACTAGAGCAGTAAGTTCGAGATATGTGTTTGGATAACAAGAAGTATCTCAGATATCTGCCTATACTGATGTCGCAGGCTAAGATGTATTGGGACAAACACAACTATGCTCACGTGGAGAAAATCTTCAGGTTAATCAAAAATCACTTCAATGTATTCATATCACATTAGAAAGTCTGTTGAGTTCTGCAGCGAACATGACACATGGAGATTGAACGTTGCCCACACCTTGTTCATGCAAGAGCAGAAATTCAAAGAAGCTGCTGGTTTCTATGAGCCCATCGTGAACAAAAACTACGATAGTGTAATGTTTGATTTCAAAACGACCCCTTCTAAACCTTTTCTACTTTTCTAGATTCTTAACATCCCCGCCATTATATTGGCCAATCTTTGTGTCTGTTACATAATGACAAACCAGAACGAAGAGGTAGTCATGAATTGGTATCATTCTGACTGACAAACAATTCTTTAAGGCCGAAGAACTCATGAGAAAAGTGGAGCGAGAAGAAGACGATGCCAGAGAAGTAGATGAATACCGGAAGATCTATCACGTGTGCATAATCAACCTTGTAATTGGAACATTATACTGTAGCAAGGTATGCTCATTCATATCCACGAGTATGATCATTGATTTAGGGAAACTATGAGTTCGGTATATCCCGAGTGATAAAAGCCATGGAGCCTCAAGAGCGAAGATTGGGCACAGACACCTGGTACTATGCCAAACGCTGTATTTTAGCTTTGATAGGCATGTGCAAGAAACTTGATTGAACATCATCTGAGTCTTTTCAGAAGCTATGTCGAAGCATCTAATTGTAATCCGAGAAAGTGTCTTAAACGACTGTATCAACTTTTTGGAGCAATGTGAAGGTATTTGAATATTGAACAGTTCCTATACAACGCGATATAGTTCATGGACGACACATACCGACTCTGGTGGATGGTCCTTTGCTCGAAGGAAACGTTGACAGCATTAAAAATTCCATAACATATGAATCCCGATTAATTAAGTCTCTTCTGCTTCAAGTGATGAATTAACTAGATTGTGGGATGTTATTGGATAACAGTGAAAACAACCGCTCACATCAATAGCGTCAGAAGAAATGAAACATCAGCTGCATATTGCTATTTGACGACAGACTACTTGTATCCAAATGAAATCAATCAATAAAATAATTTATTCATTATATCACATGATTGTAATGAAACTGTACATATTATAACATGTAACATGATATGTATTAATTATCCATTTTGTTCAACTTAAACTCAAATCAAAAGCATTATACATAAAGCTGTACATAAACATGCTGCGAACAAACCGAAAATGATGTATAACACGAGTGTGCCGTACATGGACTGAAAGAGATAATCAGAATGGGCTTGAATAATCTATGAAATACCTTCTTTGGATAACTTTGTCGACTTCTCATATGTCCTCGATCATCATAATGATGTCCATTCCTCTTATGAAGTTCCAAATCCGAAGATTTGTTTTGTTTGACTTTCATGAAAGAAAGAATCTAGACATCTTGCATTGCCTTCTAATTTTCAAGTATGATGTACCTCGAATCCGATTAGGGCAGCAATGAAAATAACAATGTAGAATATAACAATTGAAAAACTCCAATTGCTGTCTGACCATAATCCAACAAAGGAATTTCCAGCAATGACGACGGCAACCACTGAACTCAGATTTCAATAACTTTCTCAAAAGGTATTGACTCACGTGCACAAATGAGTCCGAAGATTCCAAGAATTCTATGAGACCAATTAAATATTGGACGAGCTCCTGTATCTGGAGCGCATCTTAACATAGACATGATAGGTTGAATGATGGCAACCAGAATGGCAATTGTTCCGACCTGTTGAAGTGGGTAAGATCACATATATTCTACTCTATAAACTTATTCTTACCAAACTGTGAACACTTCCAGGACTGGAATTGGCTTGATAAGTATTACTAGCAACCGGACCGGTCCAATTGAACTCTTTCGCCACGAAGATCAAGGCGGTTGAGACTAGGATGAGAAAGACGGCAGAAACATTAAAGATTCTATGTAACTGAAATAGTACAGACAGTAATATTCTGAAAAGTTGCAGAATAACTAACATGGAACCACCACTTCAATCCTCCTGGGTTGGACGATGGGAAATGCTCACGGAGATACCGAGCAGAGAGAATGGCTAGAGCAACGAAGAAGAGCCAAGCTGAGATCATCAGAGCACCTGAAAATTTTGTTATGGAATATTTATAAACTCAAAAAAACCCACCATGAAGCTTGATGAGGAAGTGTTTTGTTGGTAAATCAAACCATCCGTCTGGCTTGCCCGGGTGGCTTGGTGGTGCGGCTGCTGTAGCGTTCATTGGACCGGGTGAAGAAGGAACTTCTGGAGAGTTTGGCTCGTTTGGAGCTTCAGATGGAGTTTGTTCTTCGGAGAAATGGCCAACATTTAACTGGTTGTTTGAGATGAATGGGAAATCTGGAGCGTTGGGGTCGAGAGTATGAATGCCCAAATCTTAAGAGAAGTATGATCATCCATTGGTTCTGTTGAAGTTACCTCTTGGTCTTCTAGCTTTACCACGAACTAAGAAGATTGTATGTTCAGTGTCTAGATCAGGAGCATATTGACGGACAGGCTAAAGAGACTGATCAAGAAAATATATCCTCAATCTAATACTTTACTACTCTTCTGACTGATATGACAGTAGAATCCCCCATCCATCTTGTGAGCATGTATGACTTTCAAGCTGTTTGTTTCGAAGTCCTCAAAATAGTATCAATATGTGAATAACACCGAATGTTTTCAATACCAAATCAGCAGGTTCTGTGGGTGGACTGTTTGACTTTCCAAAGTTGAACGAAAGGTGAGCTTCAGGTTGCCCGTTATCCGGGAAAACACATTGAGTGACATGATCATTACCCTATTGAAAACAAGTCAACCATATGAATCTATTAGATGCTAACAAACCATACTAGCATCTTTAGAAAAGCCAACAGCTACATAATTATTAGTTGGATCGTTGTTCGAGCTATAAAGAGGTTCGTAGATAAGTAACCCAGATGACCAAACCTGAACAGTTCCATCTCTGTTGTATCATCTCCGACAGCTTTATAACTGAATTTCATTACACAAGAGTTTGATTTCTGTAGTAGATTGAGACTGTTACTAGCATTTCATCCTTCTCTGCCTTACCTCACAACCAGGAGGTACGAAAATGCATTCTTTGGTTTTTGAACAATTCGCATCTTCAAAATGTGAATAACCTGCGGCAAATATAGAGAATAATGGGATAAGCAGTCGCATACCTGTAATGGATGATCTATAATGAAAAAGAAACAAAAAAAATGGAAAAAATGAATAGGATATGGAAAACTGGAAGATGCTTAATGGGAGGGAGAGGAGAGGGGGGAGGAGGTTGAAAGTCATTGAACTGAAGCATACTATGCGAATCATTAGATATGAGACAACAAGTGTTCGGATAGTTAAAACAACATTTTAGAGCTTAATCATCTTATAAAGATGTAGAAGAAAAAGAAAATTTGTCAGAAGCAAAGCATGTTCTCTTCTCGTCGTATGAAGCAGTTGCCTTCTGACCACACTGACGACACGACACAGGTGGAACAAGCAATTGATGTCTATTTTGAATTGTTCATCATAGTGTTACCTTCTTCTCAGAGTTCCAATCAACAGACAGCAGAAAACAATTCATACACAGATATGATCATGTACAAATCAACAACTTTCAAATAAAAACCATATTGATAAGTACGAAATAGGAAATGGCGGCTTGTACCTTTTGTAAACACAATCAAATGATTTGTACATTAGCTCTCACTAACAATACAATAGTATGATATGAAAAAAGATTTTTTTCTTTCTCTCTCTTTGGTCTCTCATCTTCTATTGAATCTCGTTCTCTTCATGTATCGCTTAACTATTCAAGTATGACTTCATACAAGTAAGTTACCTTCAGTAACCATTCACCTGCTGGGAGAAGCCGTGAACAGCCCGAGGTCAACTAATGACCCTGAAGATTAGTAGAACAGTTAATGAATGAACAGTAGTAGCTATGTTATAAACAATCTGAAGATGATTATTTAATTTGAAAAAAAAAGTTTAAAAGGATCAATTGAAGATGCGCCAAAGATGATGATGATGATGATGATGTTGATGTTGATGAGCATTGAAAATAGAAAACATCTTGTATGAATCATGTACTCTCTTCAAATTTCTCTTTCACGGAAATAATATGTTGTCAACTCGGCACTTAGAGAAAACAAGTTTTGCTAAGAGATTTAAAGATCGTAAGGAGGTAAAAGAGTAGACAGTTGAATACTATTGAGAGAAAGACAACATGCAACCGTTCTGTTCGTCTAGAAGAATTAAGACTTCAATTCATGAACACTAACTCAATGAGAAGGTTCAAAAACTTATTTTCATAGCGAAAGGTTAGAAAATGAAAGAAAACGAATCAAAAGAATGAAATAGAAGAAGTCATCGAGTATCTAGTTCGTTGACTTGAGGAAGGTCTACTTTCAATCGCCAGAAAAAACTGAATCACCATTTCAACTCTTGTACGTCTGCTATTGCATTGAACTTGACGTGACGTGTTGATGATCTGTTGATGAGTTTCAAAAAAAACCTTTCAAACCGTGAAATTGCCTTAAAAGGCAACTAAAAGCACATTTTCCCACATACACACAGACTGGTCAAATTGTGTAAAGACTGTATAAACTCTTTCTCACATTCAGCCGAACATTCTGATTAAGACAGACTCAGATTGTTGAAGAGGTTGATGATGATAATGATGTGCATCGCTTCTTCATCTCTCAACAAACCAACATCTAAGTGCAAAGGCTTACTGTCGAGAATCGTCTTAAGGTAACATGATCACTAATGAACATCTCAAAAACAACCAAATAAGGATGAGAATAAAGTACGAAATGAATATTTTTGGATTCGATTGACCAGAAAACAAAAATAACATCGGAACGTCATCTCCTTTTGCCTTCACAGTGGTCGAGGCTGCAATAATCTCTTCTCCATAACCAGATTTAGTTGAGTAAATTTGCAATTATGAGATGGGGAGGTTGGGATTCAACTTGAATATCAAATCAAAAGATACAAAGGTACATTGCATTGCATTGGATGAAGGACATAGGATGTGTCTGAACTACTGCAGACCTACAGATATTCATTTCATCAATGATGTTAAGGCGATAAGAACGATTACTAACTATGCTAATGATGCTAAGATGTATAGGAAGTTATATATTCTCATGAAAAGTTAAGATATACATATGGATGTGTCTTTGAATAATCATATTTGGCAATGAGAAACAGGAATGTAATGAGAGAACTGAAAAGAGGTGAAAATGAGAAGAGACGAAAAAAAAAAGAATTTCAAATAAGTTGAGAGAGATGGACGGCTTAAGATTGGCGCAAGTCGGAGGAGAAGAGATTAGCTTCCACAACTTCAACACTTTTCCATCCTATCAAATGCCGTAGACAGATAGACGAGACAGAATTGAGAATGGATGTGCCTGTACATGGAGAAGAAAGTCTTTTCTACATAACAGACTTTCACTTTGAAAGTAGTTAAGAGATAGTAATTGATTAGAGCTGTATCTCAGTCTGTCGGTGTCATGTCCAACAGAAATTATAATTATAATGAATGTGAGAGAGTATAGAGAATGAAGAACATTCAAAACACAGTCATCTTGTTTCACTGGAAGTTCAGATGACAACACAATGGACTGAAAGAATAAAAAATAAGCCGATCATTAGGTGATGACCATAGAGAGGAAGATTCCATATACACACCCATACAGTCTCCATAACACATATGCAAGCCGTTTATCACATACATTCATATGTGATATGAAAAGAGAGGAGGTAATATTTCAATAGAGAGAGAGAAATAGAGAGAAAGGAAGAGAGAGAGAGAGACAAAGTGTGACAAGTCTCCAGAAGAGATTAGATTGCCCATGTGTTACGCCAAGTTAAGTTCTGGCAAAGGTGGTGAATGGCACAAATCGCATTCAGAATTTCCAGTTTTTTTCTTTATTTAAATAAAAAAAAGAAGATTTAAAATAGCAAAGCGACTGGGTCTGCGTAGATGAAACTTGTGCCAAATGAAAAGGAAAATGTATGCAATGGACTCTGTATGTTGTTGGTGTATTTGCAAATAGCATAAACAAGGATCAATCTGCTATGAGACAAGACGATTATTAGTCAATCAGAGGACCTGCCAGCTACCTACAAGTCCGTGCGAAGCTATGACAAAAGAACAGGATAACATTATGTTTGAAATGAGCTTAAAATCGTCATATAAATTACAACAGAGAGAGAGAGAAAAAAAAAAGAAGAAAAAAAGAATAACAGCAAGTCTAGAAGCAATAGAGATCACAGACAATTAAAAGGAACAGAAAAATCTTATAGTGGTTGACGGGCAATTAGGTGAGACGATAGCTCTTCTTTCTCATGTATATACATATATCTATCTCTCTCTCATTCTCCCCCCTCCACCAATTCATGACTAGCCTAGCCAGGTCGAAAAGAAATGAAGATCCCCCCCGACTCCTCTCTCCCCCCCATCCCCCCTCTCCCCCACCGAAGCGCTAAGGGATGAACTACGTGAGACTGGTTCCTTGTCAAAAGTGACAAAAAAGTAAGAGAATAAGAACAAAATCCTCAGTTACCTTGTATACTGTGAGAAGTCAGCGTCTGGTTCTTCAGCTGCAGATGCCGGAATGAAGTTTATCGGAAAAAAATGAACTTAAGAATCCTCCGACGATTGTCACAGCTTCGTCCAACTTGCCGTCCTTAACGGAACTATGACTCAACATAAGCGATACACTCATCGAAGAGAATGTTTAGTACCTGCAGAGGAGTTTGGTAAAGGTTTTTTTGAATTTTTTTGTTGCCATTTTAGAAGTGCAAGCACAAATGTTTTAACAGAACAGGTTTGTGATTAAAAGTCTCATTAAATCTTTCTGTCAGTGACACAAGACGTAAAGAAAACAAATTGCTATGAATAACATTGATAAACAAAACAAAACGTAAAGTTAACCTCATCGTAAACGAGAAGCGACCGGCTTCTAAGAGTTTGCCAATTCAAAAATGAAGTTTAACAACTCATCATCATGATGATGAAGATGATATACAGTCGTGGCCAATATAGTTGGGGCAAGGCATTTCTTTTTTCGTATTAGGTCCGTGCCCCAACTATTTTAGCCACAACTGTATGGGTTCACGTGTACGTGTAAAATATTTCATTTTGAACATTCAGCTGGAGTGTAAGCGGTCGTGGCTTTCATGCCTCAATCTAAGACCAACATGCGAATACAATAACAGAATATTAAAAAGTGAACTTCAGATGTTGTCCATAGATAGCATCGAAAAAATTGAATAAAAAAATGCAAATGAACGGAAGCATTATTCCTCAAAAACGCAGATCATTATCTTCAATACAATTACTAATTGATGTTACCAACATTTCTGGTGAAGATAGAGATCAAGCAACTCCTTCATCTGATGGTAGTGTGTTGATTTTCGATTTTTCTCCGAATTCACAAAAGATTCACAAAATAATAATTTTTATTTATTCAGACACTTCCTAAAAAGGTTTGACCATCATCTAACCAACCGCTACTAACCATGCGCTCTTCTACAAGCAAACCATCAAAGCTCGAACGAATATCCAAAAGGAATATTAATAGCAAAATCATCTTTCTTATATTGATTGTGTTAACACTCATATACATGTAAGTTGAACATGTTCATCTGCTCAGAATTCTTTTTTTAATCAAATATGTGTTCAGATATACTTCCTCATGGTATTTACAGCGATACGTGGAGCCGCATTGGAAGATACTTGAAAGAGATCGGCTACCTCCATATGACGTGTTTGTCATCTCTTCATACTATTACAATACTTCGAAAAGGTATGAGAAGGAGATATCTTGATTTTCATCTCATATTCAGCTTGGGAGATCACAGTATCGCCTTAGTTCTAACAGGACCTCATGATTATGCTGACAACTTGCGACAAATTTCAATTCTATCATGGAACGGGACAGACAGTCTTTACAGCACTGTTGATATTGAATCGTATGCAAAGTCTCTTTTGAATTCTGTTTTACTGGGTTTTGAATTCTAGAATTACTCCACATAAGGTTTGTTTGTGGATTTCTATGTTAGTAACTGCTCCAGTTCTACCAAACTTGAAGCATTTGGCAATCATCCAAGGAGAGCGCACAAGCCAGGTATCTCATGTACATAGATATGTTTCACATACATCAGTATTGTAAAGATTCCTTTTACTACGCCTAACTATATGAGACGAGAAGTAGTCACATGCATTGCTCCCCTCTTTGCTAATGAGCAATGGCAATTCTTCTTGTTCGCTGTTCATACATATCGACGGTTAGTGACACACACTATGCATGAGTTCATTATATAGTCAAGGTATGGCTCATTTATGCATCTGTATGTAAGAAGTATGGTTGAACCTGTTTATCGTCTAGTCTTGGAGTATGAGAAGCTGGTAAAGAAGTTAAATGGTAACTCGACTGAACATGAGATTCAGGGCTATCTACAGCTTCAACCATGGTTGAAGGTTCACCTTAGCCGCATCGATCCTTCTCATAATCTGTTCAACCCTAACGTCAATATTGAATTCAGAAATCAAGCTGCAGCTCAAACTGACTGTTTATTGCAATATAAGGTTCTTTTGAGCAGTATTCACAATACCTAACAGTATTTTTAGGAGAGTGCTCAGTTTATCGCTTTCATGGATTTGGACGATGTTCTGATTCCCCGCATTGGATCAACTTATCTGGAAGAATTCAACAAGCTATTCAACCAAAGCCCTCATATAGGTTACATCTTCTATGATAAGCAGAATGTGAATGTTCGGATACGTTAGTTTTCAAAATAATAAGTTCTCACCCTCACAACTTCTACTACAGAACGTTCACCTGAGAAATTTTCTCTCAAACAGATGTTCACTTCTATAAGTTTCACTGACGTCGTAAGCGATACATTCTATTCTTTCATAAAGCGAACATATTGAAGAGCGAAACCGGCAAGATGATCACTCGTCCTGAGTTCATTAACTCAACATGGATCCACTGGCCCGCTAAAGTAGCTGAAGACAGAATTCGGTATCCTATACTTGGCTATCACCAGATTTTAAGTTCTATTTAGGTATAATGTGCCTCCAGAAATGAATGTCATAACTCACCTGAAGCATTTCCACTATGTATATAACTGTATGTTATTCTTTACTATATAAGTTTATCACAGGAAAGTCAACCAACAATCGAAGACATTGAGGCTCCAAGATATAACATCACACCGAAGAACACAAACGAGAATCTCTTATCACGATCAGCTATAGCTGGCATGCAGGAAGAGCTTGAGATGTACGGACGATTAATGTCTAACATCCTGATTTTATTTCCTTTTCAGTATGTTCACTCTACCAGCAATTAAAAGGATATTGAAGAGGCTGCCAATGAAATGGTTCTACTTCGATATAATTCTTGAATGCTATACAAGGATATTTTACCGGTTTCACTATTCTGGAAATCATGCTGCTATGAAATGCCCTGGACCAGATAGATGTTCAGTACGTATTAATTAAAATTAATTAAAAATGATAAAATCTTAAAGCTACCGAAACACTCGAACATTAGTTGCGCTAATGCTCATGCTAGCTACTACTCAGCCTCCAGACCCGGAACCTTAGTTAACTTTCATTACTGGAAGGATGCTCGATTCATGGTTGAGGAAGATTGCGTGAGCTAGTGAGACGTCAACACGACTGGATAGTTGATCTCGTGATAATCCTCATTTGTAGTTAAAACAGAATACCAAAGCTCTCTAATAATGTCTGAAAATCTAATGCTCCATTGCACATCTTTCGTTTATCCATTCCGTAGAGAACGGTTGCATTCCTAATCAGCACAAACTATCAAAGATCATAGCATTCTTTCATACTTGTACAAGAGTACACATTCGTTCTTCATGTTACAGCCATGTTATCTTCTGCCTTTAGTTTCAATTCATTAATAAGAGATAGAGTACTAGTTGAGACATTGACATTCTTCACCGGAAATCAGACATCACAAGGCATTGTAGTTTGCAATTGTTTCATTGTAATAACAAGTAATTCATAATAAATAAATTCTGATAAATTTTGATGAGTTTCGTATGAATGGATTACAGAAGCGACGAGAGAATCATTCATGAGATCGTCGAGTAGGCACATGTAATAGGATGAGAATGACGTCCCTCATAGTTATGAGTGGGTAATTCATATGAGCACAGCATATGCATATAGATACATGTATAGATATTAATTTGAGAAAGATCAGAGGTATATTAATCTATTGATATGCAAAGTGATGATTATAGCTTGGATTCTGATTCCGTTCGGTCGTTGTCTTCGTTTTCTTCATTTTCAATTGATGGAGTTCGTCTAGGCGATTCATCATGCGTATCGTGAGTGAGAGCTGGTATATCATCCAAGCTGTCAGGTATCTTCATTTCTCGGAGACTTTTGCGAATTTCTCGCATGGTAGGCAACTCGGGAGAGTCTACAAAATTGTTTTTGGTTAGAAGTGAAACTTAAAACTCAGTCATACCTTCAGACAATTCTGGAGAATGAGGAGGGGAAAAGGAAGGATAAGCCGCACTTCCTAGGCCAGGAGCAGCACTTGGAACGTTCGCACCAGACATGACGGAGTTCATCAAGGCACTCATCGTATGGCTTTGCATCATCTTTTCGAAATTCACAACTACTTGGGCTACCTGTTTATGAATATCACGATGTTTAGCCCATCTATTACGTTTTGAAGGAGGATGTCTTGTCACACATGAAGGAGGAACCGGCGCTGCTGGAGTAGTGGATGGCATCCTATGGACATTAGTTCGTAAGTAACTATCAAAATCCCTGAGCAATTGCTCAGCAATAGCCTAGAAGCATGAAATCAGATGATATCAGATGAGTTGGTCATACCCGTGACTTGGGAATCAAAGTTGCGACATGACATGTAAAACTTTTTACTATGATGTCTAAGACTCCCTTCCATAAAGCTCTCTTTCCAGAGTTATGCTCATAGAGGGGATATCGTCTTTCTACAGCCCTATGAAGCTTGAAAACAATAAGTTAATAAATCTCTCGTAAAACAATCAATAACCTTGTAGAAATCGGTATAGCTTCCTATAACAGAAAAACAATATAAATAAGTTCTAACCTATAAGATACTAGCTGAACTATGAAGTTGTGAAAGAAGCAAACCTCATTGAAGTCATCCTTAGCTGCTTGGTTATAAACATCAATCATAACATCCGCAGCGTTAACAGGGAAAAATGGTAGTCGGGTCAACTCACGATAGCACTAACGAATCAAAAGAGTTCGACCATTTGCATACAACATTGAACTTACTTTAACTTTGAGGGTAATGGATCGTGCTATCTCTAGCAGTTCTTTTTGCATTGAGCGTACTGCTTGAATCCTATCGTTCAAGCTGACGATATATTCCAGAGCGCCTAAGAAGTTCGGCTGAGGGATCTGTTGCATATTCCATTTCACCGTCTGTAAGTAGAAGGTAGTCTTGAATTAGAAACAATGGCTAACATCAATGATATAGTCCCAAAGTTGAGTTAGTCTTAATAACATAACTTCTGGACCATTTTCCTATGACGAGATTAACATGAAGTACCGGAGGTTGGGAAAGATTCAAATACCTTGTATATCAGTACCTCATCTTCATTTGAGATGTTATTACCTTTCTTCCATCTCTTGAATTGCTTTGTGGTAAACATGAAATCCTTATCGCTCTCTAATTGTGCAGTGGCTTTCTTCATTAATTGAGCATTATCATCCACGAATCTTACGTAATTTATGGTGGTTTGAATACGCATCACCTATGACAAATACGATTGACCAAATTTGGAAATGACTATAGTCACAAAGCGATCAGAATCTCATGAAGACTGTCTTATCTATTAGAAGGACGAAACTGACCATACTTGAGTCATATTTAACGGATTCTTTCTGCCTAGTTAGCTTCGCGATCAATTCATCAGCCGTATATACTTTCATTGCTTCGAGCATCTGTAAGACGAGAGTGCAACTTTCTGTTCCTTTTGAAGACACACGCCAGATATGAAGCGTGTGGGCTGAAAACAAACCTCTCTTTCTATTTCAGCTAGGGCCGAACTAGTTAGTTGTATGAATTCAGTTTCCGCTTCTTTAAGAAGGGCTTCCGACACTTCCATCTTGTTAGTGTACAGCGATGGAATCTTACAAGAACCTGTAAACAACACTAACTGTTTAATAATCGATGCATCAATCACCGAGCATATCATGATTAAAACGATATCAACGTGGAACTGTTTCAACTCCATCTGTGAAATGAAAAGTATGGCAGTAGGCACACACACACACATACACACAAAAAAATCAATAAAAAAACAAAAATACGTGGTTTAATTGCAATGAGTAGATAGGAAACTGTTTACAAGATATCAATACCTTAAGCATCGTGAATGTGATAAGTGAGAGTTAGGTGCGAGTGAGGAGGGAGAGAGAGTCAGGAAGTAGACACCATGTATGTTTTTCAAAAACATTCAGATCATTTATCAATCGTGAATAAAGAAGCAGTAATCAATGGAAGTTTCTAATAAGAGATGAAACGGTGAAAACGACAACGAAATAATGAGTACACATGAGGAATAAATTGAAAGGATATGAATAATTAGGATGGAGTCAGAGGCGACGTCAAGTGAAATATCAATTTTTAGCATTAAACAAAAGAATAACTTATTTACGACTTTCCCTTGGCATCTTCTTCCAGGAATTTATTGAATTGTATGTATTAAGCAAATATTTCGTTGTCGTCGTTCAATTGGCTTTACAAATCACAAAGTGCAAAACCGTATAATAAAGAAGGCAGAAATAACGAAAGAAACAGATGGCCTTGCACTGACTATGGCTGTCCATAAATCAGCCAATATGTTTTTTGGGCTCATTCTCCTCTCTCGACACAATTAAAGCTTTCGCAACTATAAATGTACGACGCAAAGTTCAATGAACACAAGTGCTGAGTTGTCTATGTGCCACAATCTAATAATAATAACAATAAAAAAAAAGTTGAAAAGACTAACGAACAGCTCTTTAACTTACTCTAACACGTTCAGCAACTTGCCAGACAATGAGGGAACATGCTAGCATAGCAGACTGACGTGACTTTTCACGTGTCCGCCATGGCACATTTCAAGTTCATTTTCAAACATTTCTTTCGCGCTGATCGGTTGTCTTTGTTTCCTCTCTATTTCCTCAAGAACGGCTGTTTTTGGGATGAATCGTGTTATGCATAACCTATTTTTGATAACAACAACTCTTTACGACCTTCCTTATCAATTCCTTTATCGTTTGTGCGCGATATTCTCATTTGAGAAGTTTAAAAAAAATGAAAGAAAGAACTCAGCTCAATGTTTCATTTGTTCGAGCTTACATGAATGAGATTGTATAGATTTATGAATAGACCAAATATACAAAATACAAATTCAGATATTAATCATTAAATCCTAGGATTATTATGTATATCAATCAGTTTGGAGATGAGTCTCAGACTAACACAAGTATCTTCAAATGAAATAAATTAAAATATGAAATAATTCAATTAATGTAAGCTTAATATTCTAACAAACTGTCTTCTATTCGGAGTAGCTCTTTCTTCTTCGTTTGTTTGACTTCTTGTTCGTATCAATGTTTGTGAGGATATTATCTTTGAACTTTGACTCTCGATTTATGGGATCCAAATGAGGGGGTAGCGGCTCAACTTCAGCCAACATACTGCGCAAACGCTTCAGGAACTCCTGAAAATCAGCACTTCAGTTGTGAGCAAATACGAGAGCATACGAGACTGGAAGCCAAAAATAGATTTTGTGCAACTCACAGCAATTTCATTAGATCCACAGATAAAGGCATGGACCAAAGTTACACGCACTCTATCCAGCATATCGCGAATATGAACGACTCTGACCACACGGTGGACAAAAGGATCATCCGTGAGAGGTACATCATCCAATCCGAACTTCTTATCACACTGCGCCTGACACGCTTCCTGAAATTCAAGGTAATTCTCGGCTCTTCTGGGAAAAACTCACAATCTTCGTGACGTATTCTAAGAAGTTAATTTCACGAAGAATTTCGATTAAATGCATGACAGTAATTGGCTGGAAAAGGTCATTAAAGCCATTTATTTCTTCAATTGCTTCTTACGTCGCACCAGCTGGGATCTCGGATAGCCATCTTATATAAGTTTTCCGAACCAACTCGTTCCATGTCCGTACGAGGAGCATAATTATGTAAATAGCAGAGATCCTTAAATTGATATGAGCATGATCGAACTCCATTGATAAGGTATTACCACCAAATCGACTAGACATTCTCTACAAGCAACGAGAATTCGTTGACGCACACGGCCGGCTAGAGAGAGAGCTCGGCGTATTTTCAGTGTTAATCCAGGAATTCGGAACTTCGAATCTTTTTCGAGGTCGGCAATGTTCACGTTCTCATCAGCTTCCATCTAAATCACAAGATATGAAATTTCGATAATATAATGCAAATCTTACTCCATGGAACCAAGTGTACTTAGGTATCAACAAGTGAACTCTTGGCTCAATTTTTTCCATGAAAGCGAATGTGTCCATCAGTTGAGTGAACTGATCAGTGATTACTTTCATGCCATCGATAATGCTCATAGATTGCAACTATATTTCGTGATTAGAACCCTCTAGTAAGTAAGAAACACTTACTTCATTGTTCGTTTTGCTCAAATCATTCTTCATGTATTCAATGGATGGACGAATTTGTTTCTTCCATTCCTCGAAAGTTACAACCGGAGCCAGGATAGATGGATATATGACATCCTTTTGCTTCTGATGTTCGGAGCACATATCGACAAACTCAATCTGCACATCGTGATGTAAGTGATCCTGTGAAATAGACACAAATTGAATAATAATAACAAAAGCAACAGTACCTGCGCGTGACTTCCATCATTCGCACGACAAGGAATAAGTCGCCCGTTTGTAGATGGCTTCATTGAAGGTGGGGCAGGCAAGTTTCCGTACTGAGGAGGGTTAAGCTTACTATCCAGCATTTCCCTCAACTTCTGCTGTTCTTGAGCTTTTTCTGCAGATTTCACAGCAGACTCCACATCTTCATGATCTTCGGACATTAGTTGTTCTAAGAAAGAGAGGTTTGCGTATTTAACAAAAAAAAACATACTGTTCAATTCCTCCAAAAACTTTCTCTCTACCTCTGACACGAAGTTTCCATCCCTTCAAAAAACAAGGTTGTAAATAACTAGAATCTAATATACCTCATTGTTAAACCATGTTCGCGAACTGACTCCAGGATTTCAATGCAATCGGGATCACAAAGAATATTACTTGGTGTGAGACAGTTTAACGGACAGCAACATCCGTCTTTCTCCATCACTTCGTGACATTTGCAATCTTCTTCGCTCTCAGAACTTTCGCTTGACTGAATAGACTCAGTTATGGTTCTGATACCAGGAATTCTGTTGCCATTCTTGTCTTCAAAAGGTGTGCGTCTTATACAGGTATTTGGATTAGTGACAAGCCCTGCAGCCACAGCTGCCGCTGTAGCTTTGCTGGAGCTTATGAGAGTACTACTAGTGACGACTTTTGTTTTTACAGTCTTCGAAGTTTGTTGATGTTGTATTTTTATGTCGTTGGCCACTTTCTTTAGATGTTTGTCCAGGTCTTCTTTCATGGCCTCCTCCCTTGACATGCGGAAAGCCGCAAGCATCATCGTTGCTACATTGTTTTCGCAAAGTGTTAACGGATCAACAGTGGGTGGAGTGTATGCCGGAGGTGGAGCTTTACAGGCTCTCGAGCGTTTCAGATTCGAACGCCCTTGCTGTAAGTGAGCAATAAGAAAAAGATGAAAAAGGAAATATTACATTTTTCGATAAAGTTCCATCAGCTTCATATTTAGGTTCTTCAACCAAAGTTAATACTTCAAAAACTTCTTTCTCCTCCTCCTCCAATAACTCTTTGGCCATTGTTGGAAGATCTCAGACAGACTACTTTCAGAGCTTTGCTTTCCAGATACTAGAGAACAGATGAATCTATAAAATAGAAGAAGTAAACGTATTCAATAGTAAAGATGCTAAAGGGAGAAACATGAATGGAAATGCGAAATACAAAAACCCGTCGGCCAGTTCAAGTAAAAGGAGAACGACAACAAAAACCTTATGACGGTATATTATTAAGAAAAGAAATGCTAGGTCATCATCAAAGTACAAATTTCAAAAAACAAACGAATCTGTTGGGCCATAAAGCAATTTGTAATTGAGATTGTTTCGCAACCTTCTTGTGTTTCATAGAATCTGCATGTGACTCTTGCTTACGAGATATGAGATGCCATACAAGGATAAGCTATAGAAGTGATTACATTTGGAATAAACAAAGTCAAAAGATAGAAAACTGCAAAAAGTTGTTTATAAGGCAGTACGATGGAAAATTTCTCATAAGATTACTCATATAAAAGAGCGGGAAAGTGAATGAGCGTAGACATTTTTTGTTTTTCAAAAAAAAAAAAAAAAGAAAATAAATGAAGAAAAAGAATGAAATGAGGAATGATAGTGTGTGTGTTTATTGTTGAATTACAAGAATACAAAATCAGTTTCGAAAGTTTGAGAATGTTCTCTTGATGACGGCTGTTTGATATTACAAATACATGTTCAAGCTTGACAAAGCACGGATAATCTCACGAACGGTGGTATATTTCTAATATGGAATTTCATAATACACGAGTCGAGTCAAAGACTAGAATGCTCAAGCTAGCAGCTTCAAAACAATTAATAATGTATAAATAGAAATTGGAGATTAACGATTAGGGATTAACCTGGTCGACGAATGAAGAGTAGTTTGACATTTTCCACAAATAATCTGCCAATTAGGAAAGAAATAACATGTTGTATTTACATGTTGAATGAGAGAATTATGAAATGTGAGAAGAGCTTTCAATGAAGCTGCATTCAAATAATTCTTCAAACTCAATATCACGATTAGCCATGATCAGCCAATTGCACCTTACAGAGCAGAAAGATTAATTTGATTACTGAGAGAGAGACTAGGGGAGAGAATGGGAGAGAGAGAGAGAGAAAGAGCATGGATAAGATGTTTCAAAGTTCATTTCCCACAAAAAGATTTGTGAAGGCGGTTGTATGTCTATTTTAAGTAATTTTCATTTGAGATTAATGATTGGAGGAGAATCATATGGCCGTTTTGTATTAAACAGGCGGATAAATACATCTGGTCGAGAGAATAACGAATCGATAATCACCAAAAATTGAGTGAAGAAGTAAATGAAAACAAAACAAAGATGGAATGTCACTCCTTGTATGCAACTCAACAACAAGAAGCGCATAAGAAGTGTGTAAAGATGATTGTCATACAACAAGACTATAAATTTATATTGTTTGCTTTTAAACACCATGAGCACAAGGTTATTTCCTCTGTTTATCTATTTTCACACAATTTTGAATCCCTTCACCGCCTGTTTCCTTGGCAACAAGCTCCACCATATACAAAGCATTCAGAGAGGATAACTGAGCGAAATGTAAGAATTGATAAGATGAACAAGAGACCTCGTACACCAGATTCATCAAAAGAGAGCTCAATTGAGAGCTATAGCATGTAGGTAAGAATGTGTAAGCAAACCAATTTGATAACATTATTGATTTTATGTTGTGGGAGAGTTAGTTCCATGCAAGTATAGTTCTAGATGAAGTTAATGAAACAGATGCAGAGTTCCAATAGAAATCATAAACACACACACACACACAAAATGATTATGCTCACTGCAACTGCTTCGGGATAACAGCAACTTCAACAGTGATCATATTCCCTGACTCTCTATCTGGTACAAACCATAATGAGAGAGATGAAGACGAATGTACTCTCCATAGCACCCATGATAGAGTATAACGTACGTAACTAGTATGTTTACTAATGAAAACTAAGTTTGAAAATCTCACAAGTATAACTGTGTTGCACATACTATAAGATCTATGCCAGACTATACACTTGAAGGATAAGCTCAAAACCTTTTTATAGCTTAATAGAAGTTACTGTAATCAAAATTATTTTTAGAAAAAAAAAATAATCAACGGATTCAAATTGTTTTCATATTATTTGATGATGGTGGGTTGATTTGATTATAAATAAATTTTATTCAATTGATTTATTTCTTGACAGCTCGAAGGCATCGACCATCATTATCAGATGCGATGATGAGCTCACAAGGAGCTTCCATAATCTGAACGCGAGCAGAAGCAGGAAAACCATCTTTTCCCACGAGAATCGAACGAGCTGGCTTAACAAACATGTTGTGATTAATCAAATGCAATTGCTTTATACCTGCTTGTTCTCAGCTAAACGAGTGCGCTCTCTTTGGGCAATGTTTCTAACATCGCTGCTCAATGTAATTGATGGAGGCTGATTCGTTTGAGCCGATAAAGCCTGTTGGGTCCAAGCTTTAGCTTCAGTAGTTTCTGGTCTTTCGATTACACAAGTAACACTGCCAGTTCTCTGAATGATTCAATAATATCAACTCAGTTCGTATTTGCATGAAACATACCGTTAATGACTTAATGAGTAAATCGCGTGCAACATCTTTATCCGTCACACGGAAAGAGTCCACGTCCAGAATGTGGTCGCCGACCTGAGATTAGAGGTTGTACCGTTTGAAACAGTAGGATAAATAGGAATACCATCAAACTTTCAGATACTACTGATCCTGGATCGCATCGAGATACCAATACACGATTTTGGTAGTGTTTGATTCCTAAACCGAACTTGGGTCCGCCTTGAGTCCAATTTATTTTAGCTATCAAGTAAGAGAAGCCGTCTCGTCTAATTAACGTTTTGGCTCTTTCTTCCGGAATATGCATGCGAGATTGAAGTTCCGCAGCTTTTTTTTCATCTCTGAAGCATTTTTGTATTTCGACTTGAATGATAAAACAATATTATACCTTATAAGTGTAATTGTGGCCTCTGGAGGAGCAGTACGTAAGAGTTTGAAAAAGTGATTGCAATCTGTTACTTTCTTTCCGTTCAGCTCTTGGATTTGATCACCGATCTGAATAATTAGAATTAGCATAATCAATAAAACAATTTTTCACCTTGAGTTTATCATAGGCAATACTATCCTTCTGAACACGAGTTATTACAAGCTTTTCGTTAGGTGTGGCTCCTAAAGGTTCTCCTTCGTCAATTGGAAACGTAACAGTTACACACTTGTTATCAAGCACTTGGTTCTTAAATATATCTTCATGAAGTCTTGATATCCAATTCACACTTACCTCAGACATTATGTGCAACCGCTTCGATGAAAAGAAGCTTCAAAAATGACTACGACCGTGTGATAATGAAATGTCACGTAAAATGATTTCACGTAAGTCCACGTGAACTTCACGTCAAACATACCGTCCGCTATAAATAGTCACCAACAAAGAGAAAAAAAGAAAAGTTCTGAGAAAGAGTAACGAAAAAGCTTCGAAATCTACTAATATTCCGGAATTTCACCCCGGAAACCGGCAATCGTTGTTATTGTGTTTCTTGTACATATTTTTAAGTTTGTTGTGTGAAGTGTGTCCAATCTCGAAGATTGTTCGTTCTACACTGCATACGAGGGTTCAAATCCTCTGGTGGGCTATGAAGAGATTTCATTAGAGCCAAAAAATTCGTCATAAACATGGTGATGATCAATGATAGGACAGAGCCCATCTTTTGAGGTTTTCATTACTTTTTTTTTGTTTTTTTGGTTTGTCAAAGCTCCAGCTTCATCCTAATCTGTGAGCATGAATATGATTTGAATATCTGGAGGTAAAATCAAAAGCTTTCACTTTGGAAGATTGTTATTTTGCCTCCAAATCCTATAATTGCCAAAATGATTAAGTGGTATGAATGATCAATTTTTGAAATTGCTTGGAATATACTTCCTTTAGGAGATATATCATTGCCATTTGAGCTCTTATAATTTCATGACGAACTGACCCGTGTTTTCTACATTTTTTAAATGATTATCTGAAGAGGAATCTCAGTTTACAAATGTCTGTGACAGCCGGACAGCTAGTACCACTTGTCGGAGTGTGTAATGCGTTCGTCAAATGCGAACAGTGAGGGGTTCAATTCCCCTGTATGGCAAGGAAGATACATCATTTGAGCCAAAACATTTGTCATAGAAATACTGATGACACAATGATAGGACGGAGCCATGTTTTCATTTTATAATTTTCATCCATTATAGTTGAAGATTAACACATAGTGGTTGGTAGGGAGTGAGTGTGTCACATGTGCTTTTGAATATTTGTTGAATTGCGGTTGAAACCTCATTGCTTTGAACTGGCATAGAAGACAGGTTATAAGATGAAGGATTTATATTTTTTATAAAGCGTGAGAGATAGTAGAGAGAGTACAATTGAAGGTTATAACTGATTATAATGGCAAATCCGTTTCTTTGCGGCAAAATGAAAAGGGATTTGGACATTAACTGATGAATCTCGAAATAGGGATGAAGAACATAGTTAATCAATAAAACAGGAGTAAAATTGTTGTTATCCTTTGAATGATCTAAGACATCATAATGCCTACCCAGTTCAAGGGTATTCAGAATGAATGAGAAAGACCACACCCTAGCATGAAACAAAAAGTTCTGACATTAACCATCTTCTTGCTTATCTCTTTTGAATACATTTATTTCAATGCAAATAATCAATAACCATTTATATCATTGATTTTTAAAATCAATAAGTAAGTTTGTAATCAATAAGCATACATTTAACCGGTTCTTCATTGAGTTTTCTTGATCAGCATTCGTTGATTGAAGAATGTAGGTGGAAGCGCAAAACATGGCCTAACAGGTCGTCATCAACGTCAATGCATTATCATTTAATCAATCTATGCTTGCATGTGTAATTACCTCTCTGATATAAGCCCAATAACAACGGGTTCAGAACTCTTTTCTTCTTTGCGTCAAATGCTTTCTTCAAACTTATTAAATGTGTCTTTCCTTCTTCTCCTTCGCCTTCTTTTCCTTCTTCTTCTTCTCATTTCATCTTTTGTCATATTGTGTGCGTGTGTGTTGATCATGGAATTGGTGGTGATGGCTAGTGATGGGTGTGGTTGAATATAAGAAATCGATTACTATCGCCTTTGCTGCAGTTTCTTGTTGTCCGCCTGCTTATGTTAGATTTCCTTTTTTTGCTGCCCAGGTATTGTGTCAGAAGACGTTATGTCTTGAACAAACTATCACCTCTCGCCATTTCTTCTAGTTTCTCTTTTCTACTTCTCCATCTTCACCCCTCTCTTGTTTCTTTCTCTCTCTTCCTCTCTCTCTGTTGGTGTATGTAGTCATACGGCCGACATAACTATCGCTATTCGCATATTTGGTTGTGGCGGCGTGTTTGCTTCTTGAAGAAGGTGGCTTAGACATAAATCCCTCATATTCTCAGTGTTGTGAATGAAGCTAAATGAGTTTAAATCCTATACTTTGATTCGGTAAACATTCTCAAGTAAACCTCTTTAAACCTTGAAAATGCTGCTTTTCCATCTTTCTCTTCCAATTCGTGTGTCGTTCATTCTTCGATTGTTGGAGGCCAGTTAGGTATCCAATGCTAATGTCATAGTTTCTTTCTCATGCACTATAGATGAAAGGATAAGCTTGTAATTCTATCAATGTTATTCTTTATGTTATCATGCTATACCCAAACACTTTTTTCCTTTCCATCTCATTCAGGAGGTCATTATATAACATTGAATCTTGAATAGCCATCATGCTTTTGCCTCTTACATTGATAACATTCAATTGAAAGAAGATATTCATGGCTATTATGGTCAAGATCGTTTATAAGAAAAACCATTTTGACATATTCGTATAGTTTGTTTGTTCAAATCAGTCAGAAACTGTTTTCTATGCTCAACCTTTTCGTGTGTTATTCTTGCTTTTACGATTTCGTTCGAACTTACGATAAGACAGTTTCGAGCAATCCTTCTGTTCATTCTTTTTCTTTTTTTTGAGCTTTCGTATTCTGAATGATATCTGCTACGGACCAAATGTCTCAAATCATTACGTTGACTGATGTACAAAGCCATCAGAAGCACGGCTTGTGGCCAACCAAGTCCATTCGGTTGTAAGTTGCATGCCAGAAAATGGAAGAATTGAAATATATTTTCATATTTTCATCTGCACACAAGTTATGCTAAGCATGATCAGTTCTCTACAATTTCCTTTCCCACAAACATTTCTTTGATTAATCATGGAAATCTCTTTGTCAGAAAGCAAAGGCTATAAGCTATGCTGTTGGGAACTTGTAGCAATATTCCCCCCACACCCATCAATCCTGCTGCATCTGATTATAATCTACCTTATCACTAACTATACATAACATGTTTATCCTCAGTTTGTAACTGTTTTTTTTTCATTTTGCTCTCTCTTTCTTTCTCTTAATTATGTAATGATGAAGTATGTGTTAGGATGGACGGAAGAGCTGAGGTATACACTACGCAACAGCCTGATGGCACTTACGTCACTACAACTACAAGAACTCAAACAAAATACAAAGTGAGTATCATATCATCATGCTTATTAAAATTGTTATCGACGAAGCGCTAGCATCTCTAGAGACAGTTGAATTCATGATCAGACTTACATCACAGCTTTTAGGAGGATGAAGTATATAGTTGCGGGATGGGACAGTTGAACAAGCAGTATTGTATGGGACCACACGGAATCCTTCGAATCCTTGAAATTGTAAGAAATATTTGAAACCTATCCTATTGATATTGATTCAGTTCTTCTGTCTTGTAGTGATCTGTTTAGTGACATCAGTCTTTGGACCAGGCCCTTTCAAAGGTTTGCCTATGGTAATGAAACGATCCTATGAAGTGTTATAGGCGTTCTTTTCGGACAAACTATTCTTCTCATATTTGCCGGAGTTGCTTTGTGTTTAGCATTCATCTTCCTCATCGTGTACTTCTTCACCTTGAACGAGACTCATTTGGATTTCTGGCCATGGAGAATAACTGTATGTCTTAAACCTAAAAATACATTCAATCACAACTTATTATATCTAGGATCTTGTGTTCTCAGCAACATCTGCAATCATATTCTTCATTCTGAGTATTCTTGAAGCTTATTATTCAACTGGAAGTTGGTCAAACAACTGCAATGATATCGGTTCCGATGGTATCATCCATAACGGTTGCCGTCTGATCTATGAATGGGCATTTGCAGCTGTAAGTATTACTCAACATGTGTCAACACCTTTGCCAACCTTTTCAGTTCATATGCTTCATTTTGGCCATTCTGTTTGCCTTGAGCTCTTTCTTCGCTCATCGTAATCGTTACAACTTGCGTCCACAACAGGATTACTGAATTAACCGAGAACGATAACTGCTGAATCTTTCAAAACTTAAATTTCAGCTTTCCATCATCAGTCATTACATGTTCGGTTTATACAAATTCATTTCATTGATGCTCCATCCTATGTCCAGTCGCATGGAGAGAGCTGATTCATTAGATTTTAAACTTTCTATAAATACAACAACAGATTTCTGTACTCTTATCTTTCAAATGTGCCAAATGTCTCTACGAAAACATAATAAATTTTTCTTCTGCTTCATAATCTGTTTTTCTAGAACACTTAGGAGTGACTAAGAGTGATCGGTGGTTTGACCATACAAGGGGAAAGCGTTTAACACGAATGAGAACTGGGATGAGCACGAAATATGAATACAGCAACAGACGCAAACTTTTCATCCAAAAAAAATGAATCAAACAATAAACAAAAAGTTTTTTGGCAGTTGAAAGAGATTCATTCTCTCTCTCTCTCTCTCTCTCTCTCTCTCTCTCTCTCTATACATTTAATTTAGTTATTTTTCTAAAGATTTGATATTCTAATTAAATTATAATAAGATGTCTATAATAATCTCAAGTTATCCTTCACCGTGTTCAATTTGCTTTATAAACTCTCACCTGATTCTATTCAATTTCAAATCAAACTGAATACGGGGAAAAGGAAACTTAAGAATATTTGGGAAAGAAAACATTATTACACAAGTTTTGAAATTTTAAAAAAAGAAACAAAAAATTGGGACAGACTGGACAGGAAAAACCCTGTACAGCAGACTCTGTTGGCAGTGTAGTACCTTGAAAGGTGAAAGCGATGAACTACAAACTACAATATATATATATATATATATATGATGGGGTGATAATAAATATTTTGGAAGACATTCAGAAGTTATTAATCACTATCATACTCCTCCCCTTCCTCTAATGAACTGCAAGTTGCGCATAAATCAGAATATTCGTTTTCCTCACGATTAAAACGAGTTTGACATCTTTCGCATGTTTTGGCGAATAAATCTTCCCTGAAAATTATTTTTTTTTTGATTTTTCATTCTTGACTTGCATATCTTCTTCTAAGCATCTTCGGCATATTGGTTGGTCATAAATATCATTTGCCGGATCAGGTATATGCTCTCCATCTTCCGGAATGTAATAGTTACAACATTTTGAGCATACAAATCGGGAAAGTCTCGGGGCACTGAAAGCTTGAGAAATGACTTTGTTAGAGATTTATGATTAGAAAGTTTATATGCATTAATATAAAACAGTATAACTTACTACATTTCAGAAGGGAGGGGGGTTTGAGGAAACGCGGGAAAATGAAAAATCTTCAATTTGAGGAAGAAGTAGACTGGACAGAGTATTCAATGTTGTAACGTTTATCAGCTTACATAGACGGTTGAAGTTCTCTTGATCGATACACACATGGTGACGTTAATCTGGTGATAAGAACAAACTGAGGACAAGTTATGACATTATATGTTTCATCATCATCACCCAGCTACTGTAGTTCATGAAGAGAGCATCAAGTGACTCAATCTTCTTCTCTCAGCCTCTTCCAGAATCAACGTGCAACTGCTCCAGACATGCTCTCAGACCAACTTAATCGGTACAGGCGGAAAATCCTCTGTTCGAATATATCTAACGCTTATGGTAGGCGCCTGACTGGCGGGGCTCAAAAAGACATCGGGTAGTTTCTGGAGCCCAGGTATTCTGATTACTCTTTAGGTACACTATTTCTTCTCCGGGTATTCACTCTTTTAGGGACTCTTCCTGTACCCTCGAAGAGCCTCCTGGCAATGCTGCCCGATACGTTCCTTGAGGCAGTCATGCATGTGGATAAGAATTGTAATTATGAATTGTTATCATGAAACATCATGATAAGTTGTCATGAAAGAGATTACGGAGTCCACGAGGAGTGAAAGCCCGCAGCATATTGAGAGAATCATTCGGTAGGAGGGACAGGGATTCCGTTTGATCAGTATCAGTTTCCTCAAAACTCAATAGCAAAAGAAAAAAGAGGAATCTCAATTAGCTATGACCAGAAACTACCCGATGTGACGCTCGATGCTCTCAGCCGTTGTTCTCTTCATGAACTACAGTAGCTGGCTGATGATGATGAAACATATAATGTCATAACTTGTCCTCAGTTTGTTCTTATCACCAGATCAACGTCACCATGTGTGTATCGATCAAGAAAATTTCAACCGTCTTCATAACCTGATAAACGTTGAATAATCTGTTATCACAGATAATCAAGAGCGTGCTACTGTGCTTCTTCCTTAAACTGAAGAATTTTCATTCTCCTTCGTTACCTCCAGTCCCTCTTCTCAAATGTAGTAAGTCATACTGTTTTATACAATTAGAAAAAAATTTCTATTTCCATTCATAAATCTCCAACGAAGTTACTTCTTGAGCTTTCAGTTTCCCTTATTGTGCCAGATGTTCGAGATCTCTCAGTCACCTTGACAATATCTTCACTGATAAAGAAAGAGGATGGCCACTATGCGAAGAATGCGCAGATGTAGTGAACGGGAATAGACCTATGAGCACGATGTGAGAAAGAAGAGGGATGGAGGCATTTCGATATCAGACTTGGCATGTTTAACCGGCAAATACTGGACGAAGAGTTAGAGTATGATAGTGCTTGAGACCTTCTGAATGTCAATACTTCCAATGTTTCAATAAATATTTTCAAAATTATCTATTTTGCTTTTTGCTTTTGAAAAAAAGGAATCGGAGTTGTTGTGGTTGTCTCTCTTGTCCAGCAATCCACATATCTAACAAGTTTATTAAAAGAGAACGTTCCCTGAACATCTGACCATAACTTCGAACTCACGTAAAGCCGGAGCTAGGGTTTCCCTTTTCGTTTTCTATTTTCTGCATATAAGCGTCCACATAATCAGTTCCTTCATCGACGAGTATATGTTCTCCTGAACGTATGGCTGGTTTCCTTAAGCATAGATGAAATCTGAATTACTGGTGAGATCATACCTCTCATCAACTTGCTTTTGCACAAACTTCAGCAAGTTTTCTCTCAATACATTGAGTGTGTTGGAAGGCGCCAGTTTCTCTTAATTTATATAAAAAAACTAAATAAGGGGAAAGGGGAACTAGATGAAAAAAGAAAGAAAAATCCTTCTCTCTTCCTCGTCGGTTGTCGCTCTTAATAGCTCCAAATAAAAACATTAGTAATGGTAATGAGTAATAATGAGATGGAGTAATTAATGAAAGGGGGAGAGGTGTGCCTCAGATGTTTGGGACACCCTCGCGCTTAGAACCAAAGTTCCTGTAAAACGAAGGTAAACCATCAACACACACACAGGCATAAAACACGAAGAATAAGAAGAAAGAAAAAGCTGAGAAGATGTCTTTCAGCTGGCTTAGAAAATGATGAGGTTTTTGGAAATTTTTTATTCGAATATTGGGATTTTTATCGCATATTTTTGAATTTCTTTAAACTTAGTGCTACCAGAAACCATATATGACATGCTATGGTTGGTTATGTAATCTTGAGATCATAGTGTGATCACTGTTTATCTTGTTGTTTGTTTGATTGTGCTCATGTCCTTTCCGTAGTTTCATCTTCTTCCAAATGAGATTTTAAACCTTTTTCCCATTTTTAGTTTCAATTAATTTTTTTTTTTGAAAAAACGACACTTCTAAGTATTAAATTATAATAAGATTTCTATAATAATCTCAAGTTATCCTTCCCCGTGTTCAATTTGCTTTATAAACTCTCACCTGATTCTATTCCTTCATAAATCAAACTGTATACGGGGAAAAGGAAACTTGAGAATATTTAGCAAAGAAACGAAAGTGGATGATCTGGGTTAACTTTCACAAAAAAAAACAAAAAATTGGGACAGACTGGACTTGAGTATCTTCATTCTCAATATTTGGATTTTTTCATTTTATATTGTCTTCTTCTGATATTACTTGTTTGTAATTGATTTCAGTTGCAGGTTTAGACTACTCGTCACAAGTACGCGAGGATGGTGAGCTTTCGTTTCCTTGTCTTGTTTCCTCGATCAAAAATCTGTACAGCAGACTCTGTTGGCAGTGTAGTATCGGATAGTTTCTGGAGTCCAAGTATTCTGATTACTCTTCAGGTACAACGACCTTCCTTTGAGTCACTTTCACTGAGAAGACTACAGAAGACTCCAACTGGATCGAGTTCTTTTGAAAATATTTATTGAAACGTTGGAAGCATTCACAATCAAAATTTCTCACTCTTCATCATATTCTAACTCTTCGTCCAGTATTTGCCCGTTAAATCTACTTTTGCCTCCTCTTCCTATCCCCCCGTATAACGAGCCATTTCTGTCTTGGATCTGTCTCTGTTGCTGTGCCTGCACTTTGACATCGTGACATCGTTCGCATACTGGATAACCATGTTCTCGATCGGTGAAGATCTCGATACCGCTGATTTTTCTCCCACATGAGCCACATATGGTGCAATCATCCCTGAAAAAAAAAAAAGGAAATTGTCCGCTACAGTCTACGCACTTAAAAGGACTTCCATCCACAACGGGGTGTTTAGGAGGCTTACTGAAAGCTTAAGAAGTAACTTCGTTAGAGATTTATGAATGGAAATAGAAATTTTTTTCTATTTGTATAAAACAGTATAACTTACTACATTTGAGAAGAGGGACTGGAGGTAACGAAGGAGAATGAAAATTCTTCAGGATAAGGAATGAGTTGACTGGAACGTTCTCTATGATAACAGAGTAAACAATGCTGTAACGTTTATCAGCTTACATAGACGGTTAAGTTTCCCTCGATCGATACACACATGGTGATGTTGATCTGGTGACAAGAACAAACAGATTACAAGTAATGACTTTTTTGTTTTGCCATCAGCCAGCCACTGTAGTTCATGAATAGAACAACAACTGAGAACATCTCATTGGCTTTAGAAATGCTTGTTCATTTGAAATTGTCAGTGAAGTTTATAGAATGATGTTTGTAAGATACATGTAGTCTCCCATTGACTGAGTGTAATCGTCCGCAGAGACTCAGTCAGTAATTTTTTGATTTGGATTAACCGACCTTTCACTAGCCACGATTTTCATATCTCGGATGGGACTTCAGTATATCCACCAGATTTGGTTTGTTCCAACTATCTGTGGGACTCGGGTATGATGGTCATGATGAATGAACTGTTGCTCAATGGAAAGAGCAATGAGATGAAAGAAGATGAACTAACAAGGAGTGGAACTTCAT